CAGAAAATGAAATAATTATTTTAATGTGTAGAGCAGCAGGAACTCTGAGAGGCTGCAGGCGCATCAGTGAGTTTGCGGCTGCTGCGCAGGGGGAGGGAGAGAGGGCTGAAGTAAGATGCAGAAACTACCGTTGTTAAAAGAAATGTGTTAACTTAGAAAATGTGGGCGCAATTTAAATTGTCAAAAACTCCAGCGAACCTACCGACCCCCCCCCCCCCCCCCCCCCCCCCGTGCCACTTCAGGTGTATGACGTCATCAACGACTAGTCGAAGTCGACTCGATTTTCATTACTTGACTTTAAAAAACATTAAGTCATGCAACCCCTGGTTCCTGCCACTCTGATTACATTTTTTTATCTCATTATTATGACTAAACTACCTCATTATTATAAGATAGAATCTCATAATAATGAGAAACTAAGTCATAATCATCAGATAATATCTGATGATTAAACCCATCATGCACGCAACAATGAGACACAGCCGTTTTATCACATTTCACAAGATTCAACTTTTTTTTAAGATTTTTATCACAAATTAAGAGATTTCTTTCAATAGGTCCTATGTTAATTGCTCTAAACACCCAAAACCATTTCTCAATGATGTTACTAAGCCCAACCGATGAGACACAGCAGCTTTTATCACATTTCATACAATCCGATCTTTTTTCTTACAATTTTTATCAAAAATTAAGAGATTTTTTTCAATGGGTCCTATGTTAATTTCTCTAAATACCCAAAACCATTTCTCAACGATGTTACTAAACTAGACCAATGAGACACAGCCGTTTTTATCACATTTCACAAGATCTGATCTTTTTTTATTAGGATTTTCATGACAAATTCTGTGATTTCTTTCAATACGTCTTAGGTTAGTTGATTTTAATACCCCAAACCATTTTTCAATGATGCTACTACGCCAGACCAATGAGACACAGCAGTGTTTATAACATTTCACAAGATCCAACCTTTCTTATTAGGATTTTTTTATCAAAACTTAAGTAATTTTTCTCAATAGCTCCTAGGTAAATCAGTCAAAAAACTCAAAACCATTTCTCAATGATGTCATTAATGGAGACCACTGAGATACAGCAGGTTTTTCACATTTCACAAGATCTGATCATTTTTGTTAGGATTTTTATCAAAAATTAAGTGATTTCTTTCAACAGCTCCTAGGCTAATTGATTTTAATACTCAAAACCATTTCTCAATGATGTCACTAATGGAGACTAATGAGACACAGCAGTTTTCATAACATTTCACAAGATCCAACCTTTTTTTTTAGGAATTTTGTCCATTCATCCATCCATTTTCATCCGCTTATCTGGATTCAGGTCGCGGGGGCCGTCGCCTAAGGCGAGAGGCCTAGACTTCCCTCTCCCCAGCCACTTGGGACAGCTCCTCCGGGGGAATACCAAGGCGTTCCCTGGCCAGGTGAGGGACATAGTCCCTCTACCGTGTCCTGGGTCCACCTTTAGGTCTCCTCCCGGTTGGACGTGCCCGGAAAACCTCACCAGGGAGGCGTCCAGGAGGCATCCTGACCAGATGCCTGAGCCACCTCAACTGGCTCCTCTTGATGTAGAGGAGCAGCAGGTCTACTCTGAGCCCCTCCCAAATGACCAACCTTCTCACCCTATCTCTAAGGGAGAGCCCAGCCACTCTCGGAGAAAACTTATTTCAGCCGCTTGTATCCGCGATCTCGTTCTTTCGGTCACTACCCAAAGCTCATGACCATAGGTGAGGGTAGGAACGTAGATCGACCGGTAAATCGAGAGCTTCGCCATCTGACTCAGCTCTCTCTTCACCACAACGGACCGGTACAACGCCCGCATCACTGCAGATGCGGCACCAATCCGCCTATCGATCTCACGCTCCAGTTTTCCCTCACTCGTGAACAAGACCCCGAGATACTTAAACTCCTCCACTTGGGGCAGGACCTCATTCCTGACCCGGAGAAGGCATTCTACCCTTTTCCAAATCAAGACCACGGTCTCAGATTTAGAGGAGCTGATTCTCATCCTAGCTGCTTCACACTCGGCTGTGAACCGCTCCAGTGAAAGCTGAAGATCATGTTCTGATGAAGCCAACAGGACCACATCATCTGCAAAAAGCAGAGACCTGATCCTCAGGCCACCAAAACGGATGCCCTCCACACCTTGGCTGCGCCCAGAAATCCTGTCCATAAAGGTTATGAACAGAATCGGTGACAAAGGACAGCCTTGGCGGGGTCCAACTCTCACTGGGAATGAGCCCGACTTACTGCCGGCAATGCAGACCAAGCTCTGACACCGGTCATACAGGGACCTAACAGCCCACATCAGAGGGCCTGGTACCCCATACTCCCGGAGTACCCCGCACAGGGCCCCCTGAGAGACGCGGTCAAACGTCTTCTCCAAATCCACAAAACACATGTGGTTGGGCAAATTCCCACGCACCCTCCAGGATCCCCTAAAGGGTATAGAGCTGGTCCAGTGTTACACAGCCAGGACGAAAACCACATTGCTCCGTGTGTTCTCCATCCCTCTCTAGGTTCCCCTTATGTGTTCTTCTTTGGTTTATGTGCCCCTTTAGGTCTCTAGCCCACTCCAGGTTTCCCTCAGGTTTCCCCCCGTAGTGTTTTCAGATGCAGTTATCCCATCCCTGTTTTTCTTCTGGTGTCTTGTTTTCAGGTTTTAAGAGTTCACTCATCTATAGTTCTCTGTAGATTTATTTTACCTAGTCAGTTTTCCCCACTCAGTTAATTAGTCTCACCTGATCCCTTCTGATTACTCCCCACACACCTGTCACCCATCTCCCTGATTATTTCCCTTTGTGTATAAAACCCTGTCTGCATCTTAATTTGTTGTCGGTCCATTGTTGTGTCAGCGTTGTCTCGTTCTCCCCTCTATGTCTCTAGGTATTTGGCTTCCACTAGGTCTCTAGGTTTGTGCTCTTTAAGTGAGCTTTCGTTCTACAGGATTTTTGGACATTGCTTTTGTGGCTTCCTGCCCTCATTGGATTTATTTGGACATGTATTCCTGAATAAAGGATTTTACGTTTTTTCTACCTGCCTTTGCTGTTCTGGGGTTTTCTGCATCTTGGATCCTAACCTCCTCCTGGCTCACAACGTGACACCTCCTGAATCTGAGGTTTCACTACATTCCGTTTGATTAAATGTGTTTTTGTAGTCTGTATATTTATGATGATAAATAGAAACACAGCATGGAAAAGCAGAGTGGAGCACCCTGAGACAATTTTTGGGAAATAAATTCTGGTTCTGGCCAGGATTAAATCTGATTTAGCAGATCCCTGATACAAAAAAACCGTGGTTTAAATTGAGGAAAAACTTACTTTACATAATATGCATCTACTTTTTGAAAGAGTAGTTGTGGTTATTGGGGGGGGGGTAAAAAATAAATAAAACATAATCTCTTACCCAGAAAAAAACAAGTTGTCCTTTTCACCCTATGACCCCAGAAAAATGGCAAGCCTGTCCACATTCACAACCCAAAACTATTGCTTTTCTTTGTTATCGACATAGTTTTATCAATATCTTTATTATTGTGTGAAAATCTAATAATAAAGCATTAAATAAGCTGACGCATTTCATTACCTCTGTGCCTGACGCGCTGAGGAACCAGGAGCGTGCACGCGTTTCCACATGAGATGTTAAATGTCTCCAAACTGCAGTTGTTCTGGAGCGCATCAGCCAGCGCTCCGACGCACTCTGGGTTTGCGCTGCTCTCGTTTCGCGCATTAGCATCCATGTCTCCGAAATGATGTTTTTAAGTAAGCTCAATGTTGCCTGTATAGCAAAATTTAATGAAAAAAATATGATTTATATATTAATCAGAAAAACAAGAAGATTCCGGCAGCACTTGTCCATGGCAGTTGTCAAATAAGAGAAGAAAGCAGGAAACTTTCTAGTTCAGCTATAAACGAGACTAAAGATGCGTCCCGGTGATGGATCCGTGCGCTTTGGAGGCAGGAGCGCGCTGTGACCTGCGTGAGGAGCGCGAGTGAGCGCAGAGGGGAGAGGATTTCTGTGGGGAGGGGGTCACTGTGTCTGTGGTTACCACCCACCACCAGTCGCACTAATTCATTAATAAAAACATTCTAATCCTAAATCACATAGGCCGTTTCAGCCAAATAGCCTCAAAGTTCGTTTTGGTTGTTGGTGCATTAAATTCAAAACGTTGAATAAGAAACACGATTTTTTTTATTCTAGCAGCCAAAAAACTCAAGACATTCAAACATAACATTCCTCAGATGCATCACGTTTATCTTCAATTTCTGTTTGAAACTGCAGAAGAATTTAATTTAATTGAGCCCCCCCTCCCGTTGCAGTTTGACAGAGTTGTTCGGGAGGTTTGACTGACAGCTGGAGGATGACTTGTTTGAGCTGCGCGCATCTGACGCTTTTCACGCTGATGGAGCTGCTCTCACAGGCTCCATGCTGCCCCCGCGTGGTGAGAATGCGCACCCACGGTTAAGAAAATAAATAAATGAAATTAAATGTGTGATGAAAGTGACAAAGATATAATTAGATTTTTTTGCATCACAGCACACTCATGAGTCACAGTGGAAGCACCTAGCAGCAACTTTTCTGTATGATTCATTCTGAGGACCCGTTCACATCTGCTGCTGCTGTTGCCTGCCATACATTCACAGCTCCAGCGGTGCAGCTAATGATAGTCTTATTCTCCCAAATGACACAAACACCCGAAGATATCAGCAGCCCCTTGTTCTAATAAAGTCCATTTTACAAATGCACTAATTTTGTTTGAGTGTGTTTTTTTAAAAATGCAACGAACACAGCCGAGGGCGTTTTAATCAGGAGGGTGTAGCATTTGCTAAGCTTTGTTTTCTTTGCAAGAACATTTGCAGAACTGCAGTCTGGACTTTCTAGCAAGAGGGCTAAGAATTAGAACTAATATGAACAGAAGATGATTTAGCTTCTTATTATGGTGATAACGCAAAAGGCAGTTAATATGAACCTGTCTAAATACATGCTCTTTCTCACCTTGAAGCCCTCATGTAGGGGTGTGAGGTGTTCATGATGGCCCTGAATCTGGACAGAGTCCTCTGCTCAGCCACCTCTTCCACCAGAGCCAGCTTCAGCTCCAGCCTGGAGATGTTGTTTTGACTGGTGCTACACCTGCACACGGCAGCATAGAGAAGGATGCGCACTACTACTGACTGATAGAACATGCAGGGCAGATGTTGAACAAGCACAGCCACCAAAGAAAGAACAGCTTGGTCTGTGTTAGCGTCCCAGTCCCCCAAATATGATGGCACAACCTCAACCCTGTCCCCCTCTGTGCACCGGCTGATGATGAGTATTCTTTTTGTCCGGAGTCCAGAACCATTTCCTGGACATTCAGCTGCAGCTGGCTCCTCAAACCACAGCAAACACAAACAAGTCTACCTCAGTCCGTTTTACGATGGCAGTAGTTGAGCGTCACTGCTATCAAACATTCTAACAAAATGTCAGCAAACTTGCAAAATTGCTGCATAGGTTTCTCTAGGTTTACTCTCAACAGCGTCAACAAATAATGTGTATGATATAATAATATTCAATTCCAGCTCAGTAAGTGTGAGCATGTCTAAATGGGTTATATACTTATTAGTTTTTTTAAGGTACCAGAATTTCTGTCTCCTCTGCACCAACTGTGAATCTGAGAGGTTAAATGTTGCTGTTGTCTGGGGTGTGATATCTCCGAGGAAAGCGGGCATCTGCTTGGCCTTCAAACAATGAAGGACTCAGGGAGGTGAAAAAACAGGGTCATTATTTCAAGCAGCTCCTCTGTAATCTCTCCTTTTGGTGTCAGTGTCTTCAGCAGGTCATGTGCAGAGCCACTTAGCCCAGATGAAGAGGCTGTGTGAGGATGCCAATCAAGGCGAGGAGGGAGGCTGGCGCTTCCTTTAGAGCCTAATAATCGCTGGCGAGGCATGGCGCGTTGATTACTGATGCTCCACTGCTGATGAGGACAAGTTGGGAGATAATCACCTCTGAGGTGGTGCTTCACATCTCATGTCTGCATCTTCTGATGCTTAAGTATCTCCATCCTTTGCTGCCGTTACTGTAAACACACTCGGATCATGTTACAGATCAAATAAACCCTCTAGCTCCAGAAGGCTCGTCAATACAAACGCTGTGAAGGGACATCAAACCCCAGGTGGAGACTGCAGGTAATGGACAGTGGATGCATCAGTGCAAAGCAGAGCTGAAGCGGATTTTTGTCTCCTTCCCTTCAGCTCCGCCAGTGGCTCTTTGACTCCAGGGATCGATAGCTCAATGATCATTCCGGGCTAACAGAGCCGACGGCTGCATTGTCGGAGTTACTGAGTTGTGTCTTGATGGGGATGCTCAGAACACTGACCCATCAACTGGACGGGCGTCTGACTAGTGCAGTAAACGTGATATCTGCATGAAAAACAGTAAAACTGATCCCTGGGCTTGTGCAGCGTGTTTTACCTGAAAGTAGCAATTCAATTTGTATTAAATGCAAATTAAAAATTAGTTTACAAATTAATGGACTGTTAATCTTTGCAACTGTGCAAATTAAACATCAAAACAGTTTTATTCTAATTTGGATCATTTGAAGCTGTGTAAAAATGTGCTGGAACTTTTATTAATGAGCCCGTTCTAGTCGCCAGAGGTGGATAATGATGAGGTCACTCGTCCATCAGAGTTAAATCACACATAGAATCATTCTCCTGCCCTTTAAAGTTTAGTAACTAACTCTAACGTGCACGATTAGAAACAAAAGCAGATTATTAGGAAAAGATGGGGTTTTGGGCTGTGAGGTAACAGTGTTAGCCACCACATCATTGCACCAACCACCTGGTGGAACATCTGAGCCAATTAGGATAACCGACAACAGCTCAGAGACGCCATAAAATGCAACAAATGTGGTCATTTCATTGCCTGCAGTACACAACATCACTGAAATATTCAGATAATTAAAGGAAATCTGTGTATGCAAACGATTCCTGAGTGTTCATGATCCTTGGGCCATTTAAAGCCTCAACAATTCTGGGTTCAGAGATGCATAAAAAACATGTTGTCTTTAAAAACCCACCTTTCATCAGGATTCTGAAGCTTTGCCAACATCTCTGGACATAAACTCTAGCAGGCTGTTGTTCTGTCTAACCTTACTGGCATGTAAATCCTGCAAAAAAGTCAAGTTAGCCACATTTAGTTTGATTGTAGGAAGCAAAAAAATAAAAAAATAAAATAAAATCACAAGCATTCTTCTAAAGATCTGAGTGCTAAACAGTACTGACAGGAACCCAGGAACTGATCATGACCATTTACTTTGTTACTGCTCAATGCAAAAAGGAGTAAAATGCCTAATTTAACAGTTTTCCCTTGTAAATTTGAAAGAGACACTTTTGACTGTGTGCAGTTTGTGCTGCACTTCTTACAGCATAGAACAGGAGGCTGTAATGTGATCCACATTCTTGCAGGCTGTCCGGAACCTGGATAATGGATGCCCTTGCATCTTTCCACCATCAGCGACTAATTTCTATCAATGTGCCTTAATGCTTCTAGTGGTAATGCCCTATTAAGGGCAGCAGTGTGCCAAAAAAATAAAGAAAATGTGCCAACTCAAAGGTTTTCTGACAGAAATCAATGCACTGAATATGATTTAGAGCTTATAACAGAATCAGTGTTTTTCCAACATGCATAAGAAGTTTATTTTTTTAGAATCATTTGATATTTTACTAAAGCAGAATCAAAATGAAAATAAAAGTTTCCATCTAGTTTAGAAAAAAATGTCCTATATCAGCCACAAATAAGGTAAAGACAGATGATTATTTCCTTCATGATTCATTTAATTTAATTTGTAATTTTAGTTATTGCTTACCTTTATTTTAAAATATTTGAGATGCTATTATGAAGTCCCCTAGTGTCCAAGTCCTCATGCTTGCTCCTAGAATTTGACATTTATGACACGTTTCTGTAAAAACACACCTTTGTCCAGTCCATATGACAGCAGTACAAGACCTTCATACCTACAGCTACAGTAACAATAAACAATACACCCACGTTTACTGGGAACATCATAAAAAACCTTGTAGACGGAGTACGTACATGACAAACTACAATAAAACCTCTGTGAAATAAATCCTCGTTCTCTTCACTGAGTGCTAGAGATTATCTAAATCAAACTAATAAAAGTAATAAAAAATAAATAAACCACACATGAAAATATAATAAAAAATATCCATATTGAATTTAATTGGACATTTATTTTTGCTAAATGTTGTTTTTCCACAACATAAACTTTCATAAATCAGATACTAAGTATGTTTTCTTAATCTTAATGGCTGATGGCCTCTTCTGTGTGTTTTATTCATGAATTTTAGATAAATAAACATAAACAGGATGCAGTCTTGTGGATTCTGACTATGATGTGTGAACATGGCTGTTCAGCAGCCACCTGCTGCAAACTTTGAAAAATAAATAGATGACTGCTCGCACTCGACAGACTGCAAAGAGCCTCAGACACTCATGACACAAGACGTTGTTAAATAACTCTTTAGGCTGAACTTTGACCTGTCAAAGTCCCTTAGGGAGGTGGGGAGGGGGGAGTGCAGGTTTAAGATGCCATAACAGCTAATCAGTGACAGGTGAGCTCCCCCTTTAGACGCAGACACTCAACAGAGGAGAGTCGGTGAGTGAAATGTTTATTTTACTCTTTATTTTTTATTGTTATACTTTTTTTTAAATAAATTTGGGGAAATTTTAAGATTCATAAAGGTTTCCTGTGGAGATTAAAGAACACGTTTAATCATTTGCTGGAAAACCTCTGATACTTTAACAGGTGAAAAAATATCAACAAGTTAAAAACGGTGTTATCACTGTTTGTTGCTTTGGGTTTATTGATATTATTTTCCAATTTTTAAGTATTGAACAGAATAATCTACTTCTTTGGGGCTCTTAATATTAAACTAGCTTTATATTTTGGTGAAAAAGCTGTTAAAATCAAATCTAATACGACGTAAACTTTATAACCACATTACAAATATGTACCGCTTTTAAATAACTATTAAACTTTTAATAGTTGTATCAATACTTCAGCTGTAAGCACAAGTAAAAAAAACAAGATTAATAAAGTCAAATGAAGCATACAGCTAAACATTTCTTTTATAAGGATAAAATAAATATTACACCTTTTTAACTCTAAGATAAAGGTCATAACTCTATTTTAAGTTGTTATTAGTGTGTTTTTAATTATTTAATTGCCTAAATTATACATTGAAATAGTTAAAACTAATTAAAATACATTTTGTATTTAATACATCATGAAAACAAACCCAAAGTTTTTATTAATTTACAAATTTCTTAAACGTTGCAATGAATCTCGTTTAAGACATGAGTGTTTGCGTTTTTAATATAAGCACACCTGCCTTTTATAGCATCCCGCTGAGAGTTAAACCCACAACCCTTAATTTGGATTCAAAGTCCAGTGATTTTTATTTCACTGTCAGCTGTGTGTCCTGCAAATCATTACATGCCTGTTGTCATGGAAGAGTAACTTTTCATCCTCTATCAGCACTTCTGTCACGTCTTTATGTGCTGAAGTATCCACTCTGATAAATATGCTTAATGCGTAGCACAATAGATTACAAGGTGAACTAATTTATGATCGTCAACAAATGTAAAGGGGAAAAACAGCTGTTTAAGTTCGATTGCATTTTCCAATCTCAAAGCTCTAAAACCAAAATAAGTCTAAGGCTTAACTGGCTTGGTCAAATTTATTGACACTTTAAAGGTGTGGAACACTCAGTTAATCAATGCATCGGCAATGATCTCTAGCAGAAAGAAATGGATTCTAATTTATGATGCTCCTGTTTCAGCACAGAGAAGTAAGCTGAAGGAGAAAGTAGCTTCAGACAACAAGATTAGTAGTTTTATTTCCTGATATTTGGTCATCTTGCATTGGATTGGCTAACAGCAACGTGACAAAAGTTAACGTTTTATCTCCACAAATAACTCAACCCTGAAGGAGTTCTGCTGTGTGGTGGAGTTGCTAATGCTAACTAGATTCCACTAGCCAAGACGTTCTCTGCTGATTCCTGGATGCTAAACCAACAACAGCCTTCCCCATCACGAGTCAAGATGGGTGAATCCATGCATGGATATAAATTTTGGTGTGTGTGTGTGGTTGGGGGGGGGGGGGGGGGGGGGGCATGTCACCCCCCCCCCCCCCCACACACACACACACCCCACACCCACGCACACTTTTGCCAAAGTCATGTTTTGACCCCTGCACTTTTTATCGTCCAAAAACAATATTACTCTATATTAAGTAGACACTGGTTGAGCTCTAGGACCAAGTGGAAAACAACTGTTTGTGTTGAAGCCTGTTTCCCATTAGAACATACTGAAAAGATTCCCGCTGGTCCTCGGTTGTCCCCCCACCCCTTACGCCTAAGACTTAACTATATATATATATATATATATATATATATATATATATATATATATATATATATATATATATGTGTGTGTGTGTGTGTGTGTGTGTGTGTGTGTGTGTGTGTGTGTGTGTGTGTGTGCAATACAAGGGAGACGATATGATTTACTGTGAAGTTAAAAGCTGACAATATTTGCAGATGTTAAAACAGTTTTATTTGAAAACTGAGGCCAAATGCTTCCAAGACACATTCAGTATTATTGTGAGATCTCGCTGGTTTGTCAGAATGAAGGCAGTAAAAGCTGCTGCCACCTAGCGGCCGGAGTTTGAATTGCACCACACAAAAGAAGTACAATACATACAGAATATTGCGATATTACATTGTCTCAACATTTTCTTGCATCTCTGTTAAGTACCGTTTATTATTTCTTTGTTCATGTTAGGACAATGGCCACGTACACGCCAAGGGTGATCTCCCTGGCCAAGAGGCCTGGTCAGACATTTGGCTTCTTTCTGAGGGTGGAGCAAAGTAAGGAGGGCCACCTGATTCGCTGCCTGGAAATGGGAGGTCCAGCTGAACTGGCTGGTATGAAAGATGGAGACCGCATCCTTCGGGTCAATGGAAAATTTGTCGATGGGCTTACCCATTCAGAGGTGAGCAGAATGTAGATACACAGCAGATCCAATCACCAGCAGTGAATTTCCATGGTGTCCCTCTACTAGGTGGTGGAGCTGGTGAGAAACAGTGGAGCATCTGTCACATTCCACATTCTGGATGAATCGTCTTACAATCAAGCAAAAACACTCGGAGTGAACCTCTCCGACCCTCAAAGCTCACCCATTGCCAACGGATTGGCTAAAGAAGATTGGAAGCCCAAACTCTGCTACCTGGTCAAATCTAAGTCAGGATTTGGGTTTTCCATTAGCTCATTTAAAGGTAAGGTACATTTGTAAAGGGTTAAAGAAAATCTACAATTCTCAAGATTGCAACTTAAAGTCTAAGTCAATGTTAGCAGTATTTAAATGTTTATGCAAAAAGAAAAAAATACCTTTTAATTAACCCATTTGTGCAATTTTAATACTTGGATTGGCTACTTTCACAACTCATTTTATTTATTATTTATTTTCATAAAGTAATTAAGTCAGAAAAAAATGATCTATTGAAACACAAGCTATGATTGGGTTTGTCTTTTTCATTTGAGAAGTACACCAATAACATTTGAACTACTTTGACCCTATATCTGAGTTGTCCTACATGCTACTATGACTTATACTTGTACTTCACTCTGAAGTTGTTAGATGAGTAACAGAACACACCTATGATAACATAAACCACTCCTATGTGGTTTTCCATCAGCAACAGCAACACTCTCACCCTTAGCAACACATGTTATCTGCTTATCTATCTATATGCCTTATGACTATAGGAGAGGAGGGTCTGTTCATGACTGAGGTGATTCGGGGGGGTGTGGCGGACAAAGCAGGAGTTCGTGCCAAAGATCGTCTAATTGAAATCAATGGTGAGAACGTTGAAAAATGCACCCACGAGGAAGCAGTGAACAAGATAAAACAGGGGGGCAACAGCGTGATGTTTCTGCTGGTTGATGAGGAAACCGACAAATTCCATCAGAGCAAACAAGCAAAATTAGGTTCGTGGAGAGCAACAGTCAAGTATCTTCCTCTCCATCCACGCATCGTCAAAATGACCAAAGGATCAGATGGATATGGCTTCCTGCTCAGAGAGGAGCCCAACCAAGCAGGCAAGGCCATGGTAACATGCTGTACTTTTCACTCCGGAGTGATGGCCTAATAATGTACTCCTTTACTTCTTTCAGGACACTTCATGAAGGAAGTAGATAAAGGCAGTCCAGCGGAAAAAGGTGGTCTGATGGAGAATGACGTAGTTGTCGCTGTGAATGGCAAAGAGGTGGACGGCTACAGTCATGAGCAAGTGGTGGACTGGATCAAGCAAAGTGGAGACAAATGCTGCCTCCTTGTGGTGGACAAAGAAACACAGCAAATGTATAAGAAGGTGAGCCATAGACCTAACCTGGAAAGCCAACTTATATTTGTAAAAGTCTGGTCACGAGTCACTGAAACCACCCAGCCATGAGGCTAAATCTACGGTTGTCTTTCAAACTGTCTATGCATGCAACTGGACAGTGCTAGGACCAGTCAGAGCAACGAACAACATGATGTAATCATCACTACAAATGTTAGTCAGCATGGCAGTTCACCATACACCGTTGAAGGAGAAGCAAATGTATCCTTCTTTGAAATAAATGACTTAAGTACCTCTATCTGCTCATATCCCAAAGTAGATGCTAAAGCTATTTCAAATGAGCGCCATTTCTGAGCTGACGCCATATTTGTAGTGTTTCTCCATCACAGCTCTAACGTTAAGCCTGTATAACACATTTGAAGTGTTGTAATTGGCAAGACACAAAACTGATCAGGCCATTGATAGACCCGCTGACGTTCCTATGGAGCGTGGCTAGACCGACCTGCAAAGCAAACCTTTTTGCTATTAGTCTGGATTTCTAGGCTCCCACTGACTCACTGTTCGTCATTAGATGTCTACTGTAGATAACATATTGTCATGCTGTTTCTCAAAGGGAAAAATATCTCCTATGCTCTTCTGGGAGGAAAAGAAAGACTCCAACTTACCACCAAGTTACACAGAAGCTTTAAAAATGCCTGTTTCTGCTCAACCATCCACATCTGTTCAAGAGACGATAGAAGACCTTCGACCAAAGCTGTGTAGGATGGAGAAGACCTCTTCTGGTTTTGGCTTTCACCTAAACGGCATCGAGGGTGTGTGTGGTCAGTACATCAAGGAGGTAAGATCAACATAAGTACTCAATTTCTCATCATTAGTATCTCACAACCAAGACAGAAAACACCATTTCTCTCAGGTGGTGAAAGGTGGACCAGCAGACAAGGCCGGTCTGGGAGACGATGATGTAGTGGTGGAGGTAAACGGGGTAAATGTGGAAAAGAGCTCTCATGCAGAAGTCGTGGAAATGATACGCAGAGGAGGCAACACTCTGGAGATGTTGGTGGCCAGCAAGAATGTCTATAAACAGCTCAAGGACAAAGGCATGACGATCACACCACGGCTAGTCGGGGAAGGTCCCAGCAGTCAAGTCCACGTGTCAAACAGTCCAGAAACAAGCAAGAAGACACGGGAGGAGGCCAGGCCTGTGACCCCACCTAAGGCAGAAAAACAGAGGGTGAGTGCTTCTCTTCTCTTTTAGTAATCAACACTATAAAGATGTCAATGATCCAAAAGTCAGTCCTCCTCTTTAAATTGTATAAATTGCGTGTTTTGTGTGGAAATATTTGGTATCTTCTAACACCCATGTAGCACTACATTAACTGGTTCTTCATCTTAACACTGACAAAAGTCCAAAACCTGTTGAGAAATTCAGTGAATCTGATGTGTTGCACGTTTAATGCAATCTGTTTAATCACATGCAGCTGCTGTTGCTCAAATTATAAACAATACACAAGTTTCATGTTAATTTGAACATTTCTATTCAAAACATTATGAACACAAAATTATACACATTTCCATTTAGTTTTGGATTTTAAACCTTATATGCTGCCAGTTTACCATCTATGGTAGATCTATAATGAAAAAGCATGCTTTTCTGGTCTTTTTTGACAAATCATGTTCGGATTTATGAAAGTATTCTAAAAAAACAAGAGAATGTGTACATTTTATGTTCTAATTAGCTTTTTGTCTCTTTTGTATTTAATTTTTTGTATCTTTTTTCCTTTTCTTTTAGTCTACATCTGTGTCATCCTCTTCATCTGATGAAAGTCTCGACGAGAGATTTTGAGGAACACTTGAAACACTCCCAATTAGGCCTAATCGGATGTTAATTTTATTAAAACCAAAATGCTCAATGAGCTTTTGATATCCTGCTTAGATTAAAACTGTAAAAAATGAGTAAAAACTAGAAAAAAGACAGTAAAGACTGTAAAAATCTGATCCATAGCAGAAGTTTCATGAGATGATTACAAAAAATGACATTTTTTTAAAGCTTGTGATCAGAAATCTTTTGCTTGTCGATCAAATTTAAGCATCAAAGTCTTTCTTACAGCAGAGGAAACCAATAATTCAGGATGTTTTTAACAATTAAGAGTGGTCTTTTTATTCTCTTTATGCTCTCTGCTGTTTTTATTTAATGTTGAAACAGAAATGCTGCTCACATTTAGAAACCAGAAATAAAATTTATTAAAACAAATCAAAGAAAACATACCATCTGAGTTAAGCCTGACTTCATGAGTTTCTGGTCTCTTAAACCAAAAAGCAGATCACATTCAGTGTTCACTCCTTTCCTTCTTACTCTGATGTTAAACAGGAATGTAAAACAGATAGTCCAGTGTACTGAGACTCAAAAAGCAATATTCCTCTTCTGAAAAACCCAAAAATATATAATCTAGGGGCATAGCAAATACAATTTTAGTTTTTCAAGAACATCTGCATTCTTTATAGCAGTGTTGTTCTGTAAAATACTGCAAGAGTCCACGACTTCCAGGGTTTTGTGTAAAAACAAGAGTAAACGAATCTCTGAAAAAAACACTGGCCCAAGCATCAGGAGTTCATTTGTGAGCCAGGAGCGATTCCTCGGGAGTTCAGAGAGTCATGTGCTTCTCCGGGGCCTGCTTGTGGGCGAGATAAAGGAAGAGGATGCTGGACAAGGCGCTGACCAGGAAGATGACATCAAACCAGCGGTGGTAGAAGTTAAACTGCAGTTCTCCCAGAACCTCACTCACAATGGAGCGATACTCCAGAGGCATGCTCATACGCATCAGCAGCACCGATGAGACGAAATACATCCCCTGTTAGACACACACACACAACCACACACGTTAAAATTCACTACTGGAGCTTTGCAGGTAACGCGCCACCGTGAGGAGACACACTCACCATGATCTGCGCGAGAACGAGCACGATGACATTGGAAGACTTGCTGCTTGAGATTGCATAGAAGAACTAAAAATAAAACCAGAAGTGTGTAGTTATAGAAATATCTGGAACAGTATTCTTTACTATTTTTATTTATTTGTTTATTCTTCTAAAAAAAATTCTAATATAGACTAAAACATATGCATAGATGAATTACAGAAATAATGTCTGAATTTGCACTTTCCTGTAAATTTTTCCCATCCAATAGTTTTCATGTGAAAAGTCTTACCTTAGTTAAAGTGATGAGTAATCCTCGTATGGAAGTAACAATTATTATTCCAACCAAGATGAAGGAAATGTGCTGAGACCAAAACTTGACCTGAAACAAGAAAAATAAACTAAATATCTCAGGATGCATTAGCAAATTTGGATAAAGCAATCACTCTCTCACTCCCGTTGTGTGAGTTTCATGGATGCTACCAGTTACAGATCAGCACAAAGACGAGTCCTACATAATAAGTTGATAAGTAGATAAATACATTGTCATATCTGTTGCTAGTACTCTTGGTTGTTTTACGGTTGGGAGCATTTACTACACTTATTACGGTAATGTGCCTCCAGCATAGGGAAAGTGTTGCTATTTACCATCTTGCTGTTATAGTTCTGAACGACTCATTAAAGGAAGAAAAACTCCACGATTGACTCATTATTCACTTCACACATTCTTTTCACTGTACTATTGAGTTGTTGATCATGGAAAACGTGGCCTGACATATTTTTAGAGCTGATTATTTGCTTCTAATTCACCGTTGCTTTGGTTCTTTAAACCACTCTGGAGCTTTTTGCCTGCTGTCATTGAGTGTGTTTACATGCAGCCAGTAACCCTTTTAAAACCCGAATATTCACAAGAACCCGGTTCCGCACGGCCATGTAAACACCGCCAAAAACCCGGATAAGCTCATAACCGGGTTTTTAAAAACCCGGTTACTACACCTGGGGTAACTCTTTTCTAACCCGAATGTTTGGTCGTGTAAACGCATATCGGGATATCCCCATCAAAGCGTGTGTTCTGCGCATGCTCTGTTTGCAAGGAATCTTGGTCTTTTGAGTAGCGAGACATCTTGTATGCACCAGAACACCGGAAGTAAACAACAAGTTGGGAGCAACATGGCGAGTCGCGGCACAGCACCACACTTTTGGAGTGACGAGGAAACCTCTGTCTTCATCGTTCTGGTGAAAAGTATGAACATTATGTCTTTTGTTGATGGCCGATAGTACAGAGACAGCGAAATATACAAGAAGGTAACCGCATATTGCGTCTTGACGTAGTCCATACGTCCTGACGCTACCCCAACGTCCGCATTTAAATCGGGTTATGCAAGTTTCTATTCATGCTTGTAAACGGGTTATTCTGATCAACTCAGAAACCCGAATGCCGACCTTAACCCGATCATAAATTGGATATTGGCTGCATGTAAACGTAGTCAATGAACTACAAATGCCAGCGCTGCAGCTTTAGCTAGCAGGAGACATGGCAACCCCACACTTACTGATAGTAAAGAAATATCTCCAAACTGCGAAGGATGGCGTCAAAACATGAACTTGAAATGGTCATCCATGCCTTATCTCCTCCCGTCTAGATCACTGTAACACACTGTTCACATGTTTTAACAAAAAGGCCCTTGACCGCCTTCAGTTGGTCCAGAACTCTGCAGCGAGGCTCCTAACTGAAGCAAACAGAAGGGCTCACATCACTCCTATTCTAATGTCTCTGCACTGGTTACCCGTTAACTTTAGAGTTCATTTTAGAATCCTGACTAGAACTTTCAGGGCTCTGCATGGTCAAGATCCTCCCTTGAGCCTTATACTCCAACCCGAGCCCTCAGGTCCACCCACCAGAACCTTCGAGAAGTTCCAAAGACCAGATACAAAAGTCGAGGTGATCGCTCCTTCCAGACTGTTGCACCCCGACTATAGAATGATCTACCTTTATCCTTATGCAGCATTGACAGTCTGGACACTTAAAAAAAACAGCTAAAGACCCTTTTATTTCAATTCAATTCAATTCAAATTCAAAAATACTTTATTAATCCCAGAGGCGATTCGCGGCGCTTCCGCAGCCGGTGTGTCCCCGGCGTAATGTAAACTTTAACTCCTGCAGCGTGGAGGAAACTTGTTAAAATACGTCAACACGGTGGATTTAATAGAAGCTCTAAAGAACAAACTCTGGACGGTGTGAGGTGTGTTTGTCTCACTGCAGAAATAAAAACACACAGAGCGTCAGCAAGTCAGGCAGCCCGCTACATTTAAGTTTCACTTTGTGTTCTGACTGAGCAGCTGCTGCAGCATGGAGGTGTAGTTCTCAGTCATCCTGGACATGCTCATCCTGAGAGTTTTAGCTGAAAACAGCTGGACGTTTCTGGATATGTTGGAGACATTTAGCCTCTCATCCCAGAGGCTTCTTCCAGACTTTGGTTGCTGTCAGAAACAAACACACTGGTTGTGCTGCAAGTTTTTTTCTTTTTTTTTCTCCAAAACATGTTTTTGTCTAAATGAAGGTGATGTTGTTGTTCATAGAATTAAAATTCATGTTGAAGTTAAGATTATTTCATCAAGTAGGACCCGTGGTTAGCTGGCTCATTTAAAACATGTCATGCCTTGAAATAATCAAAATCGGGAATCGATAGGAACCGGAATCGAAACAAGGAATTGGAATCTGAATCGTTCAAAATCAAACGATGCCCAACCCTACAGCTGACACAGCAAAACGGTTCCATCAACTATTCAGAAACAGCTGTTCTAGACGCAAACGATTTCATCTATCTGTTGTGATCCGGGAGACGACTCTGGACCGAGCTGGTCGTACTGCAGTCTTTTCTACGAACTTCGGTACCTTGGGGTCACTCGATCCCCCGACATCTCGGATCCGAAAGAGTCTCTCCTCAGGGTTACATATAGAACACAGCAAGATTGCATCTGATGCCGTTTTGATAAGAACCAACTTTCTTAGTTTAACGCAAACCTAATTCTTTTCACACCCAGAACTCGGTTTCTTCTAGATACAAGGTTCTGATAAACACACACCATTCAATCATCATACATCACATTCCATCCACTTATATTACTTTGTTTGGAAAATAAATTTCTTACTTTTTATAAACCTGACTCTGTCTGAATTGAAACGAAGTGTGTTTGATCACCGTAAAAGCAAAGAATCCTAATTCTTCTGATTAAACATCCAAAGACCAATCAGAGTGATACTCTATATTTATATAAAATATCACAGCTTATTGGTCATAAGTAAAGGCAATATACTAAGCTTAAAAGCAAATATATGTACCCCACAACAGATCTGTGAAGCACTTTGTGATCCTATGTCTATGATAAGTGCTATATAAATAAAATTTACCTACTTACTAAACAGTAGCTATGTCCTTCCTTTTATTTTGAAAGGAGAAAAACTGACATGCTCCGCAGTCAGCTGAGAATGAAATATGCATTAGTATAACCTTCCTTCCAACATGACTGAGACTAGGGCTGAAACGATTCCTCGAGTACCTCGAATAATTCGAGTACAAAAAAGCCTCGAGTCAAATTCTCTGCCTCGAGGCTTCGTTTAATTCATATTTAATTAATTCATGGCTTTGCAAACGCACGGGGTCACGTTTCACCCGGACCGAAATAAGTGACGCACATGCCCACTGAACTGAATGCACACGCAAGTAGCGAATATAACAACTTTCTCTTAAGCCATGGCGGACAACTTGAACCCCGGTGGAGTGCGAAAAAGACAGAAAATGTCAAAGGTGTGGGACCAATTTTCACGTCGTAAGGTGGAAAACGTAGTCCAGTGTAAATACTGTAAAATGGATTTAGCCTAGCACAACACCACATCCTCAATGCTGCAGCACCTGTAAATGTCACTTCTGCGAGCGGACTCGGAGCCTCTACAAGTTAATTCATTTTAGCCTGTATTTCTATATATTCTGCAGATGCTGTGCGACTTTTTCATTTGTAGCGCTCAGTTTCAGCTCACACCGTACGTCTGGTAGCAACACGTCGGACTTAAAATGTGCTAAAAAATAGCAGTTTTTACACAATATGTCGGACTTTTTAATTGTGTTGATTTGCTGTCCCCGGGATTGCTGCAGGAGGACACGGGTATTTATGAGAGGAAAACGAAAGAAAGTAAATAAATGTTTTGTGATCAGTATAATTTGACAAAACCACAGCAAACATGCTTTCTCGACAATCCTTGTTAGTGTGTGAGAAAAAAAAGTGTAGAAATTAAAACGGACGTGTGTTAATAGGGAAACAGCTGGCGAGCTGTTTGCGCATGCACCGTGAGCGGTTCTGGTTCTGTTTGGGCCGCAGCCGCTCGCAGCGCTACTTCAACAGTTATCCTCCTAGTTTTTGTCTGGCTTGCAGGCTAGCAGATTCTCGCACGAGGGGAAAATCGGCTCAGGTTGTTTACTTATTTTTTGTACACGTATTTATTTACTGTGAAGTAAAGTTGAAGTGCTGAAGTTTTGCAAACTTAATTTTGAATAAAACTTGAAGAATAAATGGCAATTGCTTGCTCATTTTGAGAGGTCTTTCATATTTTATAACTTGCCAGTTATTCTTTAAGTTTTATTCAACATTAGTTTTCAAAACTTCAGCACTTCAACTTTACTTCACAGTAAACAAATGCGAGCGGCTGCAGCCCAAACAGAACTTTCTTTCGTTTTCCTCCGCCACTCATAAATACCTGTGTCCTCCTGCAGCGATCCCGAGGGACAACAGGCATCAATAACAACACAGTAAAAAGTCCGACGTGTTGTAAAAACTGCTATTTTTTAGCACATTTTAAGTCCGACGTGTTGCTACCAGACGCACGGTGTGAGCTGAAACTGAGTGCTACAAATGAAAAAGTCGCACAGCATCTGCAGAATATATAGAAATACAGGCTAAAATGCATTATCTTGTAGAGGCTCCGAGTCCGCTTGCAGCAGTGACATTTACATGTGGATGTTTCCTGGTCAGGTGCTGCAGCATGGAGGATGTGGTGTTGTGCTAGGCTACATCCATTTTACAGTATTTACACTGGACTACGTTTTCCGCCTTAAGACGTGAAAATTGGTCCCACACCTTTGACATTTTGTCTTTTTCGCACTCCACCGGGTCCACATTGTCCGCCATGGCTTAAGAGAAAGTTGTTATATTCGCTACTCGCGTGTGCATTCAGTCCAGTGGGCATGTGCATCACTTATTTCAGTCCGGGTGAAACATGACCCTGGGCGATTGCAAAGCCATGAATTAATTAAACATGAATTAAACAAAGCCTCGAAGCAGAGAATTTGACTCGAGGCTTTTTTGTACTCGAATTATTCGAGGTACTCGAGGAATCGTTTCAGCCCTATTAGACTGTTTAGAGATCATTTCACTGTAGAGTTCTTACTTATTTCTTACATATTGCAACTTTAAATCTAACTATAAATGCACAAGCTTTAAGGTTAAAGTAAAGGTAAACAGAGGACAGGACACTTAAAGATGTGTCAATGTAATATCCTCAGAAGTACAGGGTGGGTGGGTGTGTGTGTGTGTGTGTGTGTGTGTGTGTGTTTCTCACATCAAACTGGATGCCCAAGTAGTTCACTGTGATTTCAATGCCTCTCGTCACTGGGTCTGTTTTTCCAACTCGATCAAAGACAATGTTTATCGTGGCCTGTAAATAAAAAAAAGTTTTCTTTTAAAAATCTAAACAAAAACATGTGAGTGGGAGGTTTTGGGAAGTTCTTACCATAAAGATTTTCCAAACACAATAGATGGAAAAGAAGTAACCAAGGAAGTTGAAGTATTTTCCCTGGAACGTTTTGGAGTACTCGATTCGTTCCTAAAGGCGAAAAAAGTGATTCGATATTTTAATTGATTTTTTTTTGTGCCAATAAAAATATTGAGCCAGACTCAAAACTGTCCCATCTTAACTACGTGTGTTTGTTTATTTTCAGCGTGATGTGTATACTGAACCCTACAGAAACAAGCGTAGCTATTGTTACCTTAGTGGCCTGCAGGTCCACAGTCTCTAGGAAGAGCTGCCGACTCAGCTCCTCCAGAGCATCGACTTCCTGCTGGATCAGAGACAGATCTGGAAGGAAGAAGGTAAAGGATGATACCTGCTTCAGATCTGAAAGTGAAGAATATCTGCGTTTATTATGAATCTAAATAAAGGTAAAAGATACTTTCGCTGCCTGTTTGAGTGGAGGTGACGCTCTTGATCATCCCCCAGAACCCTGTTTGTTTGTTCTGGTCCTCTCCTCTTTGGTACATCTGCCTACGCGTCATGGCAATTCTTCAATAAAACAAAAAGCTATTTTAAATATCGTTGTAAAACTAGAATCAACATTAAGGAAAACTCATGGGTGTTAAAATCACATGTATAGACATTGAAGTTCTCCTGTATAATCCTTAGAGAATTAACAGCCATGCCGCCCGATAAAATAAGCTGCCGATGTCTAGAATATTCCACAGAGGTTCAAACAAAACTCAGCAACACATCTTGGCAGGTAGAAAAAAAGCATGTTCTCTTACTCACCTTTTCTTTTTGCTGATAATCATGTCCATAGTTTGGAGCAGCCGCCTCTCTAGAGCAAGAATGTCGCTGTCTGTTACGTTTCTGTTTAAGACCAAAAAAAAAAACCACAAACTGTTCAAAAGCACCAGCATAACCTCCTGTAACTCAGCTGGAGCAACTTGAGAATCACTTTCTGCATGATCTGGTTGCACGAGTGAACTCACCTGAGGAAATAGGACATGTAGGTGTAGGGACAGTTGACGGCACCAAACCCAGACAGCAGAGCCATAAGGGTGACTCCAATCACCCCGACGCGGCTGATCAGCTGCTCAATGGACAGGATCCCTGCAGAAAAGTCAGCAATGCTGTTATCAAATTAGAAACGTACAAATCCAGTGTTTTCATCTAGACGGTGATCATGCAAGGTGAAGAATACGGCACACACTCACCATGTTTCGGACTCAATATTGGGAATGGATCTCCCAATTTCCAGAAGAAATACATAAAGGTGAACCAGACCATGCAGGCAAAAAGAAGTCTTTGTCTTTGCACTGCGCAGACGTAACATTTCATCAGCAAACATGCGGTCTAAACAGTTTTATTAAAGAAAAGTGGCAGCACTTACACAGGCGTATGTTGCTCACAACAAAGTAACCAATGTAGAAAGGCACAACAAAGATTAGAACCAGCAGAATCACATAGAGATTCAGCTTCCAGTGGAAATATCTGGAACTGGTATACACATGAGACAGTTAGCATGTTTTATCAGCTGTATAAATAATAAACACAGAAGTGTGTTGTGCAAAAACAAACTCCTACCTGCTGCTTAAGGCACCCAGAATCTCAAAGATAATGAGCTCAAACATGGTGCAGGAAAATGCAAACGTGACAGAGAACACCACCTGGACAACATACTGTCGCACCTGAACATAAAAACAGAACTGGTTAGATCAGATGATGAGAAATATATCTGACGTCATTTACATTAAATCACGTGCAAAACAAAAATGATAAACATTACTTCATAATCTTTGAACAGCTGCCGCATGAAAAACAACCATCCAAACCCAAAGAACAGCACCTGAGATGAAATTAAACACACACGAGAAATATTACCTCATCATAATTCAGCTGAACGTCATCTCTGACATACTTCTAAACACTTACAAAATATTGGCAAATTTACTGGAATTATATAGATTTTTTATATAACTTTATTCTTAATTCGTTTAACAAAACTTTGTACTCTTCATTTAATTTTTCTGATTAATCATTTAAAATCATTTGACTTTAATTGTCACTAAGAATACCAACTCTGACGTTTTAACTCTGTTTTGAAGATAAAAGGCTCCTTAATCAAACGTAAACATACTTCCTTGTATATAAATAACAGAAAATCATTCTGTTTTTTCCTCATCATAGAATATAATACCTGAAATTAGACTATAAAATGCACATAAATACGTTTAAAAATAACTGTCATTCAACTTTGAAAGTAATATTCAAGCTGACAATTCCAGCCTTAAAATAGAAAACACTCACACTTCCATAAACTGTACTATATACCATCGCGTTAAAGATACATAAATGTTTCAATATATGATCTTTAAACTGTGTTTCAGGTAAAAGCAGGTGACTTATTCTTAATTCATTACCTGAGAGGTGAACATTATGACTGAGTCCACTAGAAACGACATGGAGACGCCGGAAAAACAATCTGTATTTCTTCGAAAACAAAGTGAACATTTGTTACAGAGTCGAGGTCACTTTCAGAATATATTTACCCCCCAAAACTGCAACAAAACACCCAGATTACAACGTCCAAAATATCTGTCATGTCGCTAAAGAGCTCATTTTAGGACTGGTTTAGCTGTTGGGCTATCCCTCGTCAGCACTTCCGTCGCAGAAGTATGATGTCATTAAAAAAATCGTTCACAAAATGAAATATAAAATTTACCGGTCAGAGTGAAGAGTGAAATCATACATTGGTTGGTCAAACATTATATTTATTAAGTCTGCCAAATTATACTGTTAAAAAATTGCAAACAAGTAAAATCAAATAAAATTACCTTTTTTCTACTTTGTTTTTCTGTTGAAATTCTAGCCGTTTTCTTATTCATGGTGAACAAAAGGTCATGTTAAAAGCGCATAAGTTAAAGAGAACCCCGAAACCTATTCCGTTTATCGTCATCGAAAAGGGCCAAATAATCAAAAATTCTTCAGGTTAAATGTTTTCAGCGGACCCCTTTACCACATAGAACCAGTTAAAACACAATGATATTGAGAATGATGTAGTTTAAAACAAAGATAAATGATGCATTTACGTGAGAACAAATGTCTAGTGGTCAGAAATAAACTAAAACGAACAAAATTTTAAAAAGTGACGAAATATCTTGAGTCCGTAAGAGCTTCTTTGATTTCCACTTATACTGTACCACTGTTGCCCTCCAGCGGCTGTACTTTGACATTACAACAAACAAATTCGAAATGAAGTTTTTTCTGTTTGTTTATGAAATCCACAACCTCCTTCAAATTGATATCTACACAAGGTCAAAACATAGATTAGCATTTCCCCAGCTTTTTTGGCATACGGCGGTTAAAATGGTCATCTCTAAATGGGTTTACAGCACTTGGAGATTAAATCCAACCTGTCGCCGCTAGAGGGCGCCATTTCTCTTTATCATGTGAAGCCAATTACTATAAACCTTGAGTTTGTAGCTAGTTGGGTTTACAATTGTGTTTAACGCTGTTTCTTAAATGCTATTTAAATTGTGCTTTTAGCTAAATAATAAAAGACTAATTTTGATAGAGGGACTGCTAACATCAAAGTGATGTTTTATCTTGAAACAATTTACAGAAAATATGTTTTACTGAATAACTACTGTAACTGTAAATGTAGTTCCATCTTTTACTAATACTTCTCCTCATTGCTATTATATATCCCAACCGGATATTTTATTCCTGCGGTATTGAGATGAGAAGGCTAAAATATCAATTTGGCTTACCGCCATTAATATTTTTTGTTTTATTTTGTCAAATTTTGATAATTTAATGTTTGACTGCAACAACAAAACATCTCTACTTTGATATTTTGGTTCGTAAAGAAGTTAAAAGTTAATTCTATATTAAAAACGTGAGAGTTTGTGGAAGGCAACAAATTGCGTCATGTGTATTTTTATGCCACAAAATAACCACAAGATGGGGACAAACATAAACTATACGCAGAAGTCAATGCATTATCATTTCCTTGCTAAGTCTCAAATACATGAATTTGTATGTGTCTTTTGTCTTCCCTAAACATTGGGGGGGGGGGGGGGGGATTTCCAATGGGGAAATCAATATTCTTAAAAATAAACTGACCTAGAGGGCACTGTAGTAAATGGGATTGTCTTCCCGTGCTGACTTTTCCATCTCTGTGCGGCTCCGTTACTGTTCAGTCCTCCCCAGCTGCAGGCTGAGTGTGCGGTGTGCTCCACACAATGTGCTTTAGATGAGTAGAAAACTGTTTCTTGCATGATGAAGAGCCAGAGAAGAAGTGGATGGTGAGGATGTGGGAGATGCTGCAGAGGTAGAGCATCTTAAACTGATTTTGACCTTTGACATTCGAACATCAGAGGTAAGTGTAGAAATATATATTTTTACTTACTATATTTATCTACTTTTTACTTTGGAAACAACATGAAACAGAGCGGCTAAAAATGTTTCAGCTTCTGCTGACGAAACGTCATTTTTTGCTATGTTTTTATTTTCACTAGCATGCCAGGGTTAGTCAGTTAATTTTACAAAAAGGTTCAAATGAACACAAACTGACTTCTTTGGTTTCTTGAAGATGTTTTACTTCTCATCCGAGGACTGGAATATAGGAGGGTCATGCTTGTAGACTGTAGCTGACCATTGTTGCTCAACAAGCTGAAACTACCAATGAATACCCCTAGAGAAGCTGTTGATGTTGTTATGCCCTATTGTGTTGGAGTGGTTGTTTTGAGTAGATGCAGGTGAGTGTAACCTAGACTGAATTTGTTTGGGACTTCTTTTGACGTCCCTTTGGATTAACATGAACTGGATGACTGAGAACCTTCACCAATACCAGATAATTAAACTTTTTTTATATCACTTTGCAACAATTTTCCCAACATTGATGTCTTTTTTCACAACTCTAGACACAAAACTCTCAACCAATGAACAAAATGCACATTTTTTAAAAACTCTCCTCTGTTTCTCAATTGCTTGGATGCCACACACATAAAACTTAGATCATTGTTCATTTAACAACAACAACCACCAGTTCAATTTGACACAACTTAACACCAAAGTACTCCTCTTTCAAAATGCAGTTCGCACATTACATTTCAAGTGAGTGTCTATTCCTTTCCTTTCAATGATCTAACTATCAACTGATTCAACTACTTCTGATTCTGACTCTGACTCTGACCCTGAAAATGATAAGTAACTGTTGCAATACCCTCAATGCTGTATGAATAAAGACAAACAATCAAACAATAGGTTAATTTGTGATTTGCCATCCGATTCTGCCAACTCGTTACTGATTGGATGCACATTGTGGAATGAGTATATAAAGAGGTGACTTGGAGCCAGGTTACAATGGAGGTCAAGGAGTGGTGGGAGGAGAACGAAGAGGAAGGCGTGTAGGTCAAAGGAATGGCAGAGGACAGCCAGGCCCCCCTTCTGAGAGGTGGTTGAGAACCTGTGGCCAAATCCACAACACAGAGTTGACGAGCATATAGAAGTAGAGTAATCACTGTTTCGTTTACAGTATTACAGTACAAGATAGACAGCTGAGAAACACAGCATTTGATTTTGTTTTTATAACTGTATTTGCTGTATTTTTGCTTTGATTTGTTACAGTATGATTGCACTGTGGTGTTTTGGATCAATATATTTCAGAATTTGTTGTTTGATTCCACTCTCTGTGGTATTCTCTCTACTACTGCAGTATCATCCCAGAGATTTGTTGACTGTACATGTAGTGCCATATGTGATTTTGTTCTGCAAGGTAGAGTTGCACGCTTGTATATTTGTTTAGATCTTTTTACAGTGCAGGCAGCAAAGCGAGAATTTTATTGTGCAGAAAAACATTTTTCTACTTTCACTTTACATATGACAATAAAACCTTTGAATCTCTGAATCATGAGACCTGTATCATCTATTTGGTTGTGATTGTTCAAACAATGACTTGTTGAAACTATGGGTTACTTGTGTGTGGGTGAGCTAGAGTTTTCTTTTAATGGTATTTCACAGTTGTTTGTGCAAGATTTCTTTAAATGTGCAAATTCACAATGAAGTGTTTTGAACACCAGACAGCCTGTGTTACAAATGATGACTTTTGTGTCCAGAGTTGTGAAAAAAGACATCAATATTGTGAAAATTGTTGCAAAGTGATTGAAAAAAACAGCAATTTGATTTTAAGGTAAAAATGGTTTAATTATCAGTGCGGGATAATAATTAAATAAACTGTAGATGAAAATGTTTTTTTAAATATAAGATCTACCTTTGATCCTTTCCTTCTTGATAAGGGGAAAAGATGAGGCCTCCAGTCTCTTGTAGAAAAGCTCTGCAGGTGTCTCTGCTCCTCCTTCTGGCTGGACACCTGCACTGTGAGTACACCAAACCAAGCTGAGATCAAATCAAAGTGCAGCAGGTGTTTTTGTGATGTAAAATTCTGGTGGATGTTCCAGGCAGACTCACCGCCCCGGCTCTTTTGAAAGCCCCGGTGGGCAAACCCTTCACTCTGACCTGCAGCATTTCCAGGGATCGAGGTGAATCTGTCAGGCAGGTGCGTTGGCTGGACGTCCAGAATCAGACCCTGCTGAGCTACCAGCCAATGAACAAAGACAGCGTGAGTGGACAGCAGCACGTGGAGCTGGCCCCGTCCTCCTCAAAAGACTCCTCGTCCATCATCATCCACAGGGTGGGCTTCCGCGATGAAGGATGCTACACCTGCATCTTTGATCTGCAGCCTTCTGGTTCGAAGCAGGGACAGACATGCCTCACTGTTGATGGTGAGTAATGTAACTGTTTCCGTGCGAGACAAAGTAGCATAGAATGAAAGAAATGTCTCAAAAGAGGCCGGAATTCGCTTCAAACCTACAATTAAATATGTTTTAAGGCACATATTTCGCTGCATAACTTATTCATTTGATGCTCTGTGTGTTAAAAAGATCAAACATATCGTTTTTGTTGAAAAATTATGGAGTAAACCCTGATTTGGTCAAATCTTACAAACAAAAATGCAACTTTATGCAATACTGCAGAATTTTACACAATCTTTTAGCCCTTAGAGGGCTGGGTTTAGTTTTTTATACCACTATTACGAGCTCAACATCTGTAAACTTTGCATGACTACAAAAGTGTTTGTGTTTGACAAAACTGGCTAAATTCTGCCAATATCTTTAAAACATCTGTTTTCCAACTGTTTTGCTGGGATTTTTTATTTATTTTTGGTGACAAAAAGAGCAAAGAAACAAGGCAAACCGTTTAAAAAGCTGCAAATGTAGATCTCTCTTCTGCTTTACCAAAATTAGTCAAGCTTCATGTTAGCAACACAGTTGGAGTCATGAACTGCGTGGATTAAACCTCCAGACGTGTGAATAATTGAATAATCCCAGAGTGACACACACCTCAGCCTCAGGAGCTCACAGTGATGACCTGTCCTCTGTTTGACACAACAAAACCTCACCGCTGCTTCCTGTTTCGTAAAGCCATAGATTTGTTTTAACTGAGGATAAAAGTGAAGTTCTCCATACAAGAGAGAAATATCCCGACTGCAAATCACAAGAGGATCCCGACTTGACTGATTTCTGGACGTCTCCTCGTTGCACACATGGATATAAACTGGAAACATGTGGCTGCAGATGTGTCCATAACCACGAGGCTGCTGAGGCTGAGCCAGTGGTGTTCACAACGAGCTGAGGAGCGGTGGGAGAAGGAGGGCTTCACTTAAACAGAACCAGCTGCTGCAGATTCCTCTGACTGGTTTCTGTTTGGGGTACCTCATATTTCTGTCTCACTGTTCTGTCTGTCTCCTCGCCTCATGCCCCACGCCCCCTCCCTGCAGCCCAAGTCACTTCAGACAGAAACAAAACAGCAGTGAGCGGCAAGCGGGCCTCCCTCTCCTGCTCCTACGGGTTGCCTGAAAAGGTGAAGCAGGTCATGTGGTTGCACTCTCCAACTGGTGGTCAGCCTTCAGAGGTGGCCTCCTACGCCCAGAGGAGCGACCCCATGATCGAGCCCGCGTACCAGGGGAGAGTCTGGCTCACCCCCTCCCTTTCGGACAGCCAGCTCACCATCCAGCCTGTCGCCATCCAGGATGAGGGCTGCTACACCTGCACGTACGAAACTCACTCAGACGAGAAGAAGAGCTCTGTGGTCTGCCTCTCTACCTACGGTAAATATCCACACAGCTCATGTAAGATCCCCACTACATAAACTAATTTCATGTGCCAAAGTTTCACCAAAAATGTGGCTCAGTATTTTGTTGCCTCAGAATAAAAAGTGGCACCCCACCCATCTGATGAGCTCCTCCACTTTCACACTCTTGAGCTCCTTCATCAACAGCAGCTTTTCAGGCGTTTGAAGCATCACTTTTTACCCAGAAGAGCTTCAGCAGAGCTGCTCATGACTTATATTACTCCAAGAGTAAAATAGTAATATTATATTGCATCACACTTGTACTTATATTACATATTCTGATACAAAACCAGATCACCTATAGGGAGGTGTGTGTTAATGTGAGCTAGTTTACATAAACGTCCCACAATCCACCCGCCAGGGGCGGTTTAAGGTCCACATGCCAGATGTTTTCATCACATTCCTGAAGGAAAACTGTCTGAGGTTCAGCTTGGGGTGTTAAGAGTTTGAAAATGCATACTTTAATGCTTTAACTTAGGTCAAAAAGTTCTTGGATACTTCCACTTTTTCTTAAGTAAAAGTACAAATAAAGAGGTAAAAACAACTTAAGTAAAAATAAATGCAGTATTGACAGCACTGTCCTGGATGTGTGTCCCTCATCCACGTCAACAGCCGGGTCTTTACCTGCAGAGTGACGGCACTCAGGTTCTGTCTGTGTCCTCGCCAAACATCAACATGCATGAGAGGACATGTGGGAGATAGATCAGGGCAAACATTACACTATTCTGTCAATAACTGGCTGTTTTTATCTTTTTGGTAAAAACAAAGGAACCACTGCTCCAGACCAACGGCTTTCATCCCTTCTTTAGGGCCATTATTAAACTTTTGAAGGTTTGACTTGGACTTTGGAGACAGGATCTTCTGACATACGTAGGATTTAGACAAGAACATTGATCTTTTCTGGTTAAAATAAGTTATATGAAACTGCAGGAGGACTAACGTATGGCTAATCCGCTAACACAGAGCAGCTACGTTCATGTGAAGAAAGGACCGTTTGAAGGACTGATGGAGGCAGGGAGTGAGGTCCTGCTTGACTGTGTCAGTGTTTGCAGCAGACAGTGAGGGCCTCTGTGCTTTGTCCGTTTCCCTTTGTGCTCGTTCACTTTTGCAATTTTCTGCCGTTCCCTCTCTCCCTCGGTAGCCTCTGGGAACAGATGTGCTTTTGTCTGAGACTGAACTGTACATTAGTCGTTTTCATAGCACTGATACATGATTAGCATTAATAGGTCACTGGGTGACACAACACTCCCTGCTTTGTTCCTGCTGTCGGACACATCTAATAGTGACCAATAAAAACACCAGTCAGGTTATTAATCCTCTGTAGGAGACAGCAGGAGCCTCGGCTGGATGAAATCCTCTCAACATGACAATATTTGGACACAGAGGCGGGGTGGTTTATCTACTGTTAATGAAAATATGGTGAACTTAAAGATTTGTGAGGAATGTGGTCTCGGAGTACAAACACAGATTTATGTTGGTTTATTTGAATTTAGCTCAGGAAAACAGGATTTTACTGTTATTTCCACAAGAAGTTAGTAGTTATCTGCACGCTCACTTAAAGAACTACGACACAATAACTTCCCGTTTGGATAGATTCTGCTTCAAAATATCTGTAAGATGTTATTATGGTTTAGAATATGAGACCGCCCCACATCCTGGTCTAATCAGGATCAAAGGTGGCAGAAATTCATCACTCAGAATGCTGAAACATTCTGAAAAATGTGAATATCTGTGGTGAAATGTGCTCCTGCCAAAAAGAAAAATGTGCTCGGTTCCAGTGCACCACATTCCTCACTCAGCCCCGAGCAGACAATTGAAAACAGTCAGAGATTTACTCCTGGATCTTATGAAAGCAAGAACTCACGTGTTTTAGCTGATCCAGGTTTCTGGTCGGCTATCACGTAGACAAACACCAATAAACTTTATACAATATAAATTTTCATTGCTGCCTCAGAATGTTCCATCAACTTTGTCTTGTTTACCTTTCATGACGTTTAGAGCTTTACAGATGTGTCATGCAACAGTTGGACTTTTCTCCATCGCTCTTTTCAGTCCTGCCCAAACCCCAGGTGAGCTACAGGACAACCTCCCCAGGTGTGATCGAGGCCAACTGCACCTCCATGTCCCGGCCCCCGGTAGAGATTGTGTGGAACGTGGAGACGGACAACCGCACCATCGGTGCCCCCCTGACCTCACAGCTCCCCCAGGAGGACGGCACCACTCTGGTCGTCAGTACGCTGACCGTCCAATCGGGGCTGCTGAAGGACGTGTCCGTCAAATGCTTGGTGCACCACAAAGGGCTGGAGTCTCCGATCGCTGTGTCCATGAATACTAAAAGTGGGTATTTGGTGGTATTAATTCAGACATGTTTTAAAGTGTGTTTTTGTTTATTACAGACAAAAAGTACGTTCATTTCAGTACAAAGTGTACAACGGCCCACCCAAAAATGTGAAACTCATCATTTATAACAGTTTTGAGTTATAAAATTGCAATGCTCAAGCCATCAGTTAATCATTCCGCAACTTTTACACCTTAAACAATGTTTTATTGTAAAGTCCTGGTGACATACTATCATCTATTATGTTCATTTTCAGAGCTGTGATAGTGTTATGGGGTCCCATGTCTGTTTACCGCACTATGCAGGTTTTGACCCGCCGTCCACCGGAAGTACTAACTGCGCATTGCTTTACGGATGGGTCTCACTCTCCAAAGCAGAGACTGTAGAAAAGTCCAAAATCAATGCACAGTGAGCAACTTGTGTCTGATTTAGTGAAAACGCTTGATAAAATGTGTTTTTTAGTTGAGTAGCACCTTCCTTAGTAGAAATGAAAGCACTGGGGCCGAATGGAGACCCATCTAAAAAGGCAGCCAGCAACTATGGCAGCGCTAGTCCACGGGGCGTCTACGTATATATGTCTGTGGTAGACCTGCGGTTTAGAGACGTGAGCAATGGCACATCCACCAAAGAAAGAAATCCCTCATCAGAGAAATCTGAAACAGAGAAAGTCAGAGTAAGAGCAAAGACCACAGTTAACATGGTGCCGGCTTTTCCTCGCTGGAGAGCTCTTCTTGAAAGAACGTCATGTACTACGGACTCTGACCTAGCCGTGCTGCTAATGGATAGTAATAAATCATTTCACCAGGGTTGTTGTGTTTGGTCGGTCATGAAGTTGTTGTACAGTCCTGATAAAACTCTGTTCAATGCAGAAACGCTGCTTTATTCTTTGGGCACGCAAGTTGGAAAAAAGCCAGTAAACATGCCTCTTATGCGTGACAGAGAAATTTGATTTTACAACTGTGACGTTAGGATGCAAGCCTGGAGGGGGAGACAGGGAGCATGTATCCGCAAAGTTCAGGAATGGGGCTTAAAATGTTAGAGGGGACATATAATGCAAAACTCACCTTTTGCATTCTTTTGTGATTCTGTTTGGGTCTCTAATGCCCCTATAAACACTCTCAACATGAAAAAACCATCCATCTGTTGTGCCTAAAACGAGGCGTTTCAAAAAAGTCATCAAAGTAATCAATACAGAACCACTTCTCACATGCAAGAGAGAGCTGCTGTTGGGGGAGCAGTGGCTATTCTCCGAGCCCCTCCTGGATATATGAGCTTCTCAGCACATAGCAGCCCGAGTGTTGGAGGAGTGGGCGGCCAGCTCCAGCTTGTTTACTTAAAGTGACAGAGCCCTGATGCAGCTGATTCTGGAAGGTTCTGAAACGGAATAAAACGGATTGAATCACATCATATGTGAGGGACTTAGTGCAGATAACGTCATAAACATGATCTGTGTCCACCTCAAAACTTTAAAATATGTGGTAGAGTTGCCAGTATGAGTCATGGAGAATTATCCATTAGAATTATATAAGCCTGTAGGTTGCTTTGAGTTTACACCAGTTCACAGGGTCAGATGTTTTACACATGACAGAAAAAAGAGAGTTAAACTATAAATGTAATCTTGCCACACAAAAACCACCTGAATTTGATCAAATAATTACACCGCTGATGGCAGACAACTCTCCTCATCAAGTTTTTTTTTCCCCCTTTTTAGTTGGCACCGCTCTCACCATCCTCATCTCAGTTACCACCGTAGCAGCTCTGCTGGTTTTGTCCCTCTGCTTCTGTCTTTGGAAGTGCTTCTTGCACAAAGAAGGTGAGCAGAATGCTCACGTAGCATTCTGTGCTGTTTTTACACCAAGTTTTGGGAGAAGCCCATTCAGTTTGACTGGATTAGCTAAGGATTATAAATATTTGATCTTTTTTCTGCTTGTAACAGTGATAAGTGATTCAAATGGTGTGACGAGTCTTTCTGATTCACTCTGCAATTATTTTCTAAAGTTCAAGAACTCGTTTCAAAATCAACAGTTGAGCTTTGTTGCTGTTGTGGGGCTTGGCTAGCAGCTTGCTTTAGAAACGATGAAGGAGCAAAACCTCACAGGAACAAGCAATAACACTAAAATGCAGCTGTTTTCGTATCTCAGCGGGTAGAAGGTGTGTCCAGTCTCAATTACACTATGACAGTTTCTGAAATTAATTCCAACATACATAATATCAAAATCATCCCTTCATCCATCCATTCTCTCTCACTTATCCGGAGTATAAGTGGGCCAGCTCCTCCGGGGGAATCCCAAGGCATTCCCTGGCCAGTTGAGAGACAGAGTCCCTCCAGTATGTCCTGGTTTTCATTAGGGTCTCCTCCCGGTTGGACGTGCCCAGAAAACCTCACGAGAGAGGCATCCTGACCAGATGCCCGAGCCACCTCAACTGGCTCCTATTGATGTGGAGGAGCAGCGGGTCTACTCCGAGCCCCTCCCGAATGACCGAGCTTCTCACCCTATCTCTAAGAGAGACCCCAGACACCCTGCAGCGAAAACTCATTTTGGCTACTTGTATTCATGATCTTGTTCTTTCGGTCACTTCCCAAAGCTCGTGACCATAAGTGAGGGTAGGAATGTAGATCGACCGGTAAATCGAGAGCTTGGCTTTTAACCACAGCACTCTCTTCACCACGGCAGACCGGTACAACACTGCAGATGCAGCACCAATCCGCCTATCGCACCATCTTTCCCTCACTCGTGAACAAGACCCCGAGATACTTAAACCCCTTTACTTGAGGCAGGACCTCATCCCTGACCTGGAGAAGGCATTCTACCCTTTTCCGACTTAAACCATGGTTTCAGATTTAGAGGAGCTGATTCTTTTCCCAACTGCTTCACACTCGGCTGCGAACCCCTCCAGAGAAAGCCAGAGATCATGGTCTGATGAAGCCAACAGGACCGCATCATCTGCAAAAAGCAGATACCTGATCCTTAGACCACCAAAACAGATCCAAACACCTTGGCTGCACCTAGAAAGCCTGTCCATAAAAGTTGTGAACAGAATCGGTGACAAAGGGCAGCCTTGGCGGAGTCCAACTCTCACTGGGAACAAGCTCAACTTACTGCTGGCAATGCGGTCCAAGCTTGGACACCGGTCATACAGGGACCTAACAGCCCATATCAGAGGGCCTGGTAACCCATTCTCTTGGAGTAGCCCCCACAGGGCCCCCGAAAGGGCCTCCAGAGGGACACAGTCGGACGCATTCTCCAAATCCACAAACCACATGCAGATTGGTTGGGTGAACTCTGACATACCCTCCAGGATCTCCCTAAGGCGATAGAGCTGGTCCAGGGTTCCACGGCCAGGACGAAAACCTCATTGTTAGTAATGCATTTTATTTAAAGTGCCTTTAACTCTTTGATGCATAATGGTCACTACAGTGGACAGGTATTCAAAATTGTTATTTATTTATTTTTTGCTATTAAGTACAGCTGTTGAAGACTTTATTGTGTGTTGCATGTGAACCCCTCCATTTGGACTTCAGTAAGTCAAGCCAACATATTTTATGTTCAGAATGCACGCTGTCCACTGAGGTGGACATGTAATAAATTATTTGTAAATTAACAAAATATTACACAAAATATTTGTTGAAATTTGTTTCATTCACACCTAAAAATGAATGAAAAAAAATTGTTTAAAAAATCATGGTTGAAGATTTCATAATTCATGCATCAAAGGGTTAAGGGAACTCAGGGTCACTGTACCAGAATGATAAAAGTCGAGCTAAACATTAAAAGCAGCAACAAATAACTCATTTAAAACCCTAGGAAAACAAGCAACAGAACTATTCTTTTTCTATTGCAGCTATCCAGAAATGTTTCTAAGGGACATTTTTCTTTAATGTGTATGAAAGCAGCATGCACCAGCTTTGCAAGTTTAAATGAAAGTAAAGTCCTGGAATGGTTTTACTGTTTACTTGTACTAAACCAAAGTTTTCACTCAAAGAAGATGCATTGGAACATTATATACAGGTCCTTCGCAAAAAATTAGCATATTGTGATAAAGTTCGTTATTTTCTGTAATGTGCTGATAAACATTAGACTTTCATATATATTAGAGCCATTACACACAACTGAAGCAGTTCAAGCCTTTTATTGTTTCTAATATTGATGATTTTGACATACAGCTCATGAAAGCCCAAAATTTCTATCTAAAAAAATTAGCATATTTCATCCAACCAATAAAAGAAAAGTGTTTTAGCACAAAAAAGTCAACCTTCAAATAATTATGTTCTGTTATGCACTCAGTACTTGGTCAGGAATCCTTTTGCAGAAATGACTGCTTCAACGCGGTGTGGCATGGAGGCAATTAGCCTGTGGCACTGCTGAGGTGTTATGGAGGCCCAGGATGCTTTGATAGTGGCCTTAAACTCATCCAGAGTGTTGGGTCTTGCATCTCTCAACTTTCTCTTCACAATATCCCACAGATTCTCTATGGGGTTCAGGTCAGGAGAGTTGGCAGGCCAGTTGAGAACAGTAATACCATGGTCAGTAAACCATTTACCAGTGGTTTTGGCACTGTGAGCAGGTGTCAGGTCATGCTGAAAAATGAAATCTTCATCTCCATAAAGTATTTTAGCAGATGGAAGCATGAAGTGCTCCAAAATCTCCTGACAGCTATCTGCATTGACCCTGCCCTTAATAAAACACAGTGGACCAACACCAGCAGCTGACATGGCACCCCAGACCATCCCTGACTGTGGGTACTTGACACTGGACTTCAGGCATTTTGGCATTTCCCTCTGCCCAGTCTTCCTCCAGACTCTGGCACCTTGATTTCTGAATGACATGCAAAATTTGCTTTCATCCGAAAAAAGTACTTTGGACCACTGAGCAACAGTCCAGTGCTGCTTCTCTGTAGCCCAGGTCAGGCGCTTCTGCCGCTGTTTCTGGTTCAAAAGTGGCTTGACCTGGGGAATGAGGCACCTGTAGCCCATTTCCTGCACACGTCTGTACACGGTGGCTCTGGATGTTTCTACTCCAGACTCAGTCCACTGCTTCTGCAGGTCCCCCAAGGTCTGGAATCGGTCCTTCTCCACAATCTTTCTCAGAGCCCGGTCACCTCTTCTCGTTGTGCAGCGTTTTCTGCCACACTTTTTCCTTCCCACAGACTTCCCACTGAGGTGCCTTGATACAGCACTCTGGGAACAGCCTATTCGTTCAGAAATTTCTTTCTGTGTCTTACCCTCTTGCTTGAGGGTGTCAATGATGGCCTTCTGGACAGCAGTCAGGTCGGCAGTCGTACCCATGATTGTGGTTTTGAGTAATGAACCAGGCTGGGAGTTTTTAAAGGCCTCAGGAATCTTTTGCAGGTGTTTAGAGTTAATTAGTTGATTCAGATGATTAGGTTAATAGCTCGTTTAGAGAACCTTTTCGTGATATGCTAATTTTTTGAGATAGGAATTTTGGGTTTTCATGAGCTATATGCCAAATTCACGAATATTAGAAACGGTAAAAGCCTTGAACTTGTGTGTAGCGATGGGTACCAAATTCGGTCCTTTTTAAGGTGCCGACCGAATTCCATAGTACCAACTGAGCACCAATTTACGTCATTTGAAACGGTGCCTCGTTTCGGTACCCGTCCTTCATAACGAGAACTTGCCTAGACATCTGCGCATGCACAAGGGCGTTACTTTGGTCGCTGCGAGCGAGTTGTAAACAGAGCAGCATGGTAGAAAGAACGCACGGTAAAGCTTGGGTCCACTTCACTAAATGTGATGGGTAACTGGGTGATGATGAAACCAGCGACAAAGATCTAAGTGAGACATCCTCATCTTAATCTGCTTCGGTAGGTAAATAAAATGTTTAAGATAACGTTAGCTTGATATGTTAGCTTCCGTTCCGCTAATGGTGCGTTCGCTTTCTCCTCGGAATTCCGAATCTCCGGCTAGATGAACATGAACGCGCTCTAAAGTTTGGCTTCACTTTACTAAATGCGACGGGTGATTGGGTGAAGATGAAACCAGCGTCAACGATCTAAGTGTGAGGCATCATCGTTTTAATCTGCTCCAGCAGCTAAATAAACTGTTTAAGATAATGTTAGCTTGATAAATTAGATTCCATTGCCACCTTTGTTATCAGCTAATGGTGCGTTCGCTTTCTCCTTGGAAATTCTATCTTCCCAGTAGGAAAAATCAAATGAAAAAGGACGGTAAAAGGAATGAAGATACACAGTAAATTTAGTTCACAGTAAAGATGTTTGCTTCAGTTTAATTATCAGCTTATAAAACTACAAGGACAATGTTAAAATACAAACAGTTGTATGTTTTTTATCGTGATATTTATCAAATATGGTTATATATTGAGAAAAATAAATATTTAATTATAAAAGAGAATTAAAATATTAAACACTCAAAGGTATCTAAAATTGGTACCATTAAGTACCTGTATCAATTCCTAGGTACCGGGAATTAGTACCGAATCGATTCAAATGTCAAAGGTACCCAAAATGAATCTAATATGTATGAAAGTCTAATGTTTATCAATACATTACAGAGAATAATAAACTTTATCACAATATGCTAATTTTTTGAGAAGGACCTGTATAGGTTATTTATATATGTATGTATGTATGTATATATATATATATATATATATATATATATATATATATATATTGCTGAAACTGAAATATGGCAGGTTTAAATGTTTGTATCATCTCTTTCTTTATGTGCATTTTTTTTTCAGATAATTAACATTACACATGGAACCAGTAGCAGAAAAGAAGAGGCTAAGATGGAGTCCATGAAGGATCACTTTATGGATGCAAAGGGAATCCTTTCTCAAACACCTGCACAGGAAGACAACCAGTACAATCCTGTCTCTGATCATCCACATTCAGAACTGCTCTGCTGTTTTAATGTCAGACGCTTGTCCTCACACGCTGTCTATGGCCCAGTCAGAGCCCCATGCAATTAAAAATGAGCACTACTATGCATTAGCTGACAGCATTGGCTTCTCAGCTTACGTACAGATGTCAATCACAGAGTGTCCACACTCGTTTGCAAAAGTAAATTGATGCTAAGTTATGGACAAGTTTATATATATATATATATATATATATATATATATATATATATATATATATATATATATATATATATATATATATATATACATACATACACATACATATACATATATGCATACATATACATATACTGTATAAGCATAAACCAATGTGTATTCCCTCTGTCGGCCGACTAGAAGTGAGCATTCACAAGCGTGAGGCATTGCTTCCAGCTGTAATCATGGAAGTAAGGAGAGGGGCTTAGGGTGTGATACATTTTTCCACCTCTAGATGGTGCCCTCTGACACAAAGTCTAGATTTCTGCTTTCATTGGAGGGTTGAGAGGGTGGGTGAGAATTGCTGCTTGTTAGATATTTATGTGACCTTGGATTTTAACAGAACAGATGTGAAACAAATGCAATGATGCTTCTAAGTAATGTTTTGTTCATCATCCTAGTAATTTTTCAAAACCAAGATTTGTGTTACTGAAGTGCATGATTTGCAGTCACTGACAGAAATGGGGTTTAGTCATTAAAAGCTTTGATGTGTTTTATTTTTTGTTTTATAAGAGCATTTAGTAGTCTCCAGACTTTAGCTACTCTGAGTTCTTCTGCTAGAAAACAAGATATTTTAATGAAAACGTATGTATTTGGAGCAAATACAAAAAAATTAAACAAACTGAATTATTTAAGAATGAGAAATATCTTTGAATCCTGATTCGATAAAGCCTAAATGTCACATCTCTGCTGTCTTTATATTAAATTGGATTCATAGAGGTATCAGATTGTCTCCTGATGTGCAAAACCTGCCTGTCAGATCCTCGTCTTTGGTGCAGTTTTTCAGTCACAGTTTTGAGAAGTTTGAAGTTCCTGCAGAGGACGGTTCTGCTTTGATGCATCTTTAAACTCTGGAACATGTATGACTTTAAGAAACATGCTTGATTTATTTTCAAATCGCACACATTAGAAATGTTTGAAAGTTTGCTTGACGTATTTGTGTCCACATGTAAAAGCTGACAGTATGGAATATTAGTTCAAAGATCTATTGTTACCTTAATAAAGGTATATATGTCTCAATGTATGAGCTTGTTTTGTGGATTGCTTAGTTTAAAAAATTTAAAGTAGATATAAAATTGTTTAAATTTGATTGACTTCCCTTAGCCCCTCCCCCGACCTCTACGGAAAAGTGAATCATGTATGGAAGACAAGAGTCTTGACCAGTTGTGCGTCAACAAGTGGGAGCTGTCAATCAATGATAATGCACCCCAGTTAGCATGCACTACGGGGTGAAGCACTATCAGCTTAGAAATAGTTAAAGTCAGTCTGTAAACTTCAAGCTAATTGGGATTTAGCCTTTGTTCAAAGAGCTAAGTAATTAGTGAAGCGTTCAATCTTATGAAACTGGTCTATTTTTTTTTTTGCCTGCTGAAGTGTTAGTGCAGTTAGGCCGTGAGTGCCGGTTTCCTGCCAGCTTTAGTTGTCTCTGTTCTTGATTTGATTAAAATCCATGACTAGCGGCTCCTACAGAACCCGATGAGGAGATAATGCCGCAGTTACAACCAGGTCTGTCTGAGCAGGAACATACCAAAAACATTACTTTTCCGTTAGCTCTACGAGACGATTTGTGCCGGGGCTGCAAACTCGCATCTGACTGGCTTCACACGCTCTCAGGCCACAACTCAAATTTCTCCAGATAAAAAAGCTGCCATCCACTATCCCGCTCACATGCATGGAATAATGAAAAAGTTGGCTGCACTGTGTGTGTGTGTGTGTGTGTGTGGGGGGGGGGGGGGGGGGGAATGAGGCATAGCTTTCAGCTCCTTCATGAAGGGGACGGATAGCAGGGATGGGAGCTACGTATGTCCATTCAAATCTCAAATGATAATTTTTCTTTTTCCTTGATGATGTCACAGGCCCCCGCGTTAAGGGTGGTCGTGTGTTTCACTGTGATTCTCAACCCAAGTAAAACAGCCTCCCTTTAACCTAAGGTTTGATCTAATCAAGCTTTCAGACAAGCGTGCAGGCTGTCAGTCTTACAGTTTGAATCAGAGCCCTGTCAGAGGGAAAATTACCACTGTGCATGTGTGCGTGCATTTTGGCACGTAGGTGTGGACTGCAATCTTCAGACACCATTGCTGAAAGAAGCATTTCCACACAGAAACACAAGTCCATTCTCCCATCTGGGGATTTAAACACAGCTTCATTTTAACGTTTCACTGTGTACACTCTGGTCTGCATTCCTGTTAAGTAAACTGAGATGAGTAAGGTCAAAGACAAACAGGTTTTGGAGAAACAGTATGAATCAGTTGTGTTAGTTGAATGTGGTCAAAAGAAAACAGAGTGATGTTCTAGTGTTCAGCATTGAGCTTGAGTAGGAAACAGTGGTGGTTTGATGAGTCATGTTTACAAGATGAAGAAGAGACAAACAAATAGTCTAGATCTGAGCTTTGATTTGGTGAACTTGTTCTCTTTTTGGATTATTTTGTCTGTTCATCTGTTTTCATGCAGCACTTAAAATGAATGAATGTCTGAATGAATGAATGAATGAATGAATGAACGAATGAACGAATGAATGAATGAATGAATGAATGAATGAATGAATGAATGAAGGTGTAATCTTATGTTTCTGTTAAAATTCAGATATCTTCTTCTTATTTCAGTAAATGTAAAATACCTGGTAACACCTTACAATAAGGGTCCTTTTATTAGCTTTACTTACTGCATTATTAGGCTTTGATAAACAAAGGGTCCTTTACTAACATTCCTAATAGTGAAGGGACTTATGGGTCGTAGAACCGTTCATCAGATGGTCGCTGTTGTCTTTTGGCTGGGGGGGTGGGGTGGGGGTGGGGGTCCATAGCTTATTTAAAAGTGCTCATGAGAAAAAGATTTGATTAGTTCATGAACGTCACATCACTTGTTCATAATACTGTTCACTACTAAGTGTTAAGACAAAGGGGCCTGGGGGTGTCTGCTCAGTAATGCATTACTTATTATTAACATTAGGATTAAGCAGTTGTTAATTTTTTATTGGTTCATTAATGCTTAATAATACACCTAGTAACGTTAATAAAGGGACCATTATTGTTAAGTCTTACCATCAAATCTGCTGTCTAACAAATGTGTCTATTATAAGGTGACATTTTTCTCTTTTTTTACACAGTTTCAGAATAATCAACATGCTGCTTACACACTAACACTTCAGTCCATTTATACCAATTTAAAAGCTCCAGAAATACCTTACATATTATTTATTATAGTAATATTATACTTATGTTGTTCTTTGCGTATTTAAGTAAAACATTACTATTCCTTTTGTTCCTCTTTTACTTTTTTTTCTTTTGCTGTTCTTAGCTTCTGTATGTATTAGATTTTCATTTGTCTTAATGGTGGAGACAAAAACTTTGAGACAATTATCCACACACTATGTCTTTAAGTAACAGTAACAGTAACAGTGTGAAGATTTGTCGTACTTTTCTTACCATGTGTTAAGTCAATGTCAGCGTGCATCCGATCTTTAACTTCCTGTAATGTTGAGCCAAAGCACACTGATGTGGTTTTTGATGTGCATGCATTTACTACCAAAAGCTCTGAACAGGAGCAGGAAGTCTTAAGTTGCTGGAGCTGGTTTGTTTGTGATGTTGAAAATTTAATTTTATAAAGTTATTTTCTTACTTGTGTTGTATAATAAAGCAAGATCACATAGAAATTATAATTTGTTAGCACTTTAAAAACATCTGGTTTACATAAAACTAGTTTATTTCAATAGACTGATTTTGGTGAACATTCAGGGTAGTTTAATAACAGCGTATTTTGTGTTTTCGTCCATTTCATATGTGGAAAGCAGCCTCCTGGCAGGTTTCCCACTGTTGTGGTGGTTTATGACAGAATAAACTGGTTTACCTTCAGTGTCTCCATGGATACAGAACAACGTGAAGCTGAATGTTATCATCAGACAGCTCAGTGTGTCCCTGAGGCTCAAAATGAGATCTGAGACTACCTATGTGGCTCAACTAGCTTTAAGCGGAGCTCGCCACTTCCTGCTGATATCTCAACCTCAGCACCCTGCACAATACTGTTTCAGTGTGTCAAACAGAAACAAAGCACACCCTGCGTTTGTTCATGAGTGTGAAAACAAAGGATTTCTCTTAAAGAACTGCAACTATACCTGAAGTTATGAAAGGGAACTCTCAGTTAGAATAAAAAAAACTATATTTCCTTTATAAATAGTAAATAAAACATTTTAACACAGTCTTCTTGAAACGGTAGATGTCACAAGCTGATGCGCTTCTTTTCCTTTTATTGAGCGCCATCTTGTGATAAAACGTATTACTACAAGAATTATGTGGAAGTGCGTCTCAAAAGCCTAGTGAACCAGACCAAATTCTTGCTTTGCAAAGTTTATATATGTGAATATATAGTCTGGCTGGCCAGACTATCTCAAGATTTGAGTATTGTGATTTCTTGGGGGGGTTATATTTTGCTCAAGACATTTCACATTCAAGTAGCTTTATCAGTTCAAACCAAAAAAGGCCCTGTAGCAAGAATATTACCACCAAGACACTCCGAGACGAGGAAACCCATCAAGAAAGTGATCTAAACCGGCAAACACCCAAACTAGGTCTCAGTCAAATCAACAAAGACATTTTGTTCTTTTTCTGCAGGATTAATTTTACACCAGATTAAGCAGGACACTCAATCACCATAAAATTTCTGGGAATCATTAAGATAGCAAATGTGAGATAGATGTTCTATTTGGTCAGCAGCCCCTTTAGACTCTCAGCTCCTCCATGGGTATCATTATTTCCTCATTATTGCTGAGACATGGTGTTTGACCTTACAAACCAAATCATACCTGCAGTGTTTTACATTTTTTGTTGAGTTTCTTCAGAACACGGTGCTTTGCTTGATCAGGGTGATTTCTACAGGTGTGGCAGTAATCAGGCTTGGGCGTGGCTGCTGACACTGAATGGGGAAGCGGGCAGGTCCTTGTTTTCCAAATTAAGGAAAGGATAATTTGACACGTTCTGTTGATCTGAAACATTTAAATGTGATGTAAGAAAGCAAAAAATAGAAGAAATGTGTAAAGGTGTAAGGTATGCAAAAGAGCTTCTCTACAGAGTTGTGAACCTCACCTCTACCTGAAGGTTGTTTACCTCTGCTCTAGCATTAATTCTTTTACAAACTGTATCTCGGCTTTCTACATGTTCATCTCTCTTCATGTCTCATAAACAAAGCAGCAAATGCAAACGGTCATTATTTTTATCACGTCTTTGCTTTCTTTTACCCTTTTACTTTTGAATCCCTAGTAATAGATTTAAAAGAGCGCTAACACTAAACTTTTGGCCTACTTCTTATTTTCTTCAGCTGAATGTTGGAGTTAGTGATGACATCATTCATTGCTCTGTCTATCCCAGCGTTCAGGTTTGATATTCATCGAGTATCAGTTCAGAGTTTCGTCTAAATACACAGATTTTTTGGCTCTTTGTTGCAACAAAAAGCATTAGTTGTGACACCATCAGGAACTGATTTGACTGTATTGTGCATATTACAGAAAAATTCCTGACTGATCAAAGAGTCCATACAGGTGCCATTTTCCTTTTAATCCCTGGACTTTCGGTTGTGTACCTAAAAAGCGAGCAACTTCCTGGTAGGAAGAAAATTTGCACAATCATGCAAATAGGATGATTCACCAGCAAATGCAGACATTTCAGTTAGGATTATCTTTTTATATCCTGATGTATCTAGCAATGCAGGAGGTTTAAGTTTTGGTGATATTACTTTACCACCTCAGTGGAGTGGAAGGGACACGATTTTATATTTGTTCATTAAAAGGATTTGGCTTCTAAGCAATCAACATTATGTTTGATATTCAAACCTGTTTTGAGATTAGATTTATTCCAGATTAAGGTGTTTATGTGGCTTTGTTTTGAAATGGGGGATTAAAGGACAACGTTTTGTCATTAAATTCTTCAACTGAAAGATCTAAGACCAGTTTTTCCTCTGTGTGTGTGTGTGTGTGTGTGTGTGTGTGTGTGTGTGTGTGTGTGTGTGTGTGTGTGTGTGTGTGTGAGTGTGTGAGTGTGTGAGTGAATCAAAATGCACAAACCTAGACCTTTGTGCAGCCGCCTCTTCCTTGCTCCCCCATCCCTCCCTCTTTTCGTCATCTATCTCTCTGCTCAGTCCCCCACTGCTGTGGTTTGAGAGCATTCTGATGCAAACAGTGAGACCGGAGGCTGCTGGTGCGACGGGCTTCAGGTTGTCCTCCAACAACCAGGAACTCTCTTGGGAATCATCATGGGAAACTGCACCTCCAGGTAGGTGACCTCTGAACTGTCCTGCTACATATAATGACTCAGAACAGGATTAATGTGCTCAGAAATGTCCTGAAAGTTGCTTTATTTGAATAAAAATGTTTAACTACTAATTTTAAACAAATTAGCTAATTGAAAAAGATAAACAAGATGATAAAAAGTGCATTTTTTTATGAATGTTTGTGCATTTTCTGTCTTGTAGCAGTTGTGCTACTTCTCAATTGAGGAAATAGCGGTTATGGCTAAAAATAGATCTGGTTTCAGTTGGGGTATCCTAGAGCTCCAAGTTAAAAATAAGAAAACAGATTAATGTTTAAAATGTTAATATTTTGTAGTCACTTATGCATGTGTGAAGCATGAATACAGCTGCTTAAGGACAGATGTAGGTTGACAGTGTTTCCTGTTGCTTCACACGATCTCATCAGTTAATCTGCTAAGGAAACGCAGCATGTGGTCAAGGCTGCACCTTTTTCTGAGCCGCTGCTGATATCTATGGTACTTCACAAAAGATTAAGCTAAAATAAATAGCATCCCCTCTCCACCCTCCCTCACCCAGACCGATGTGGTTTCCTTGTTGAGCGTGGAATGTTCTAAAAATTTGTCCTCTTACTTTGACTTCCAGGCAGCAGAAGAAGCGGCAGAAAGGTGCGCCTTTGTTTGAGGATTCAGTTGTAGCCTCTAAAAGTTTTCGGAGAGATACTGATGCATTTTGCATTTTCTCTTTCAGGGAATTCTGCAGCTGCCAATGATGACCAGGTAAACGTTCAAACACCTATTTCAGGCCATATGCAAACTCATTGCGGTAGTTGTTGGATGACATCCCAGTTAGAAAAAAGGTTTGCATACTGCCTGAGCAAAAATGTTACCTTTGTTGTAAAAGATGGCCTGAGACGCTTTAAAACTCACCACATTCAAACAAGCACCAGTTATTGTTGCACTTCATTAAAAAAGTATGTTTTAGACAAATGACTTTTCTTCATGGATGTAATTTTCACTTTAGAAGTGGTGGTGGTGGTGGGGGGGACACGGGGGGGGGGGGGGTATCTTTACAGTATGTTCTAATGGAAAACAGGCTTCAACACAAACAGTTGTTTTCTGCTTGGTCCTAGAGCTCAACCAGTGTCAATTTAATATAGCTTACCGGTAATTTAGTTTTTGAATGGTAAAAAGTGCAGGGGTCAAAACTTGACTTTGGAAAAAGTGGGGGGGACATGCCCCCCCCCCCCCGCCCCCATCCCCCCCCAAATTACGTCCATGCTTTTCTTCTCACTCTGTCTTCTGTCTCCTAGGAACCTAATGAGGACGTGATGTACGCCTCCATCAGCCACAGCAACTCCAAAGGACCAAGACCTCAAGCTATGGCTGACAATGACTGCGACTATGCTACAGTTCATATCCCTGCAAACATTCAAGCAGATGCAAAATCTAACAGCTCGTCTAAGGACGAATGTGCAGACGACTACGTGCTCATGGAATAAAAAAAGAAACCTAGAGCAGAAATTATTTTGGACCGACAGACACTAATACATCTTGAGAAAGGGGAAGCATCGTTGCAGTTGAACTCTTACAATGGCGGGTAAATCAAGATTATAATTTGATTATCTGAGGAACAGTGGAAACCCTAACTAAACAAAGCCAACAGCAGATAGATGTTGGAATGTTTAACCTCAGGATGTTACTCTTCCTCTCTGAGGTGACTGTAAACAAGAGCACAACCAAGATGTTCCTACAAGAAGACAGCAGGTGACACGTTTGGTCTCTTTACAGCAGAAAGTAGCATTTCAGTTGGACTCAAGGACTTCATGATAATAGTGATTGTGTGGAAGAAAAGTAAAACTGGACTTTTTGCTTGGAAGGAAAACTAAAGCAAACATCCTAAAAAAACCGCAGCGTTTGTAAATCACCAAATCGAGCAGCTCGATACATTCTGCTGCATAGGAAATGTTTTTGTCTCAAAATTGTTGAATGTTTTCTCTGCAAAAGATTTGTGTTTAATTTCCTGCATAAGCAGGTAAAACCACTGTAAAGCACACCACCACTGCTTACTAGTTGTTAACTGAGCTAAGCTTTATGTTTTAAAGTTGTGGCACCCTACAAATTATTATCTTCTTATATGTCGTATAAATTTGTTTGAGCAACTTCAGTTTGGAGAAACAGACACCAGATCTGACCAGATTCCTATTTAACAGTTAGCTATGACAAAAGTAGATTGCTTTTTAATAACAGCTCAAATAAAAGATATGTAGCTGGAAACATAACTTTTCCATCACGTTTATGTGGGCTTAGCAAGCTGTTAGCATGCTAAGCTAACCTCACGCTGGCCACGCTTCCTCCTAGTTTATGTAGTTGTTTATTTACCCAGAACATACCCATGTGCTACTTCAACACGGCTGTTTATTTATTCATTTATTTATAATTATTGTGTAATTGTCATCATTTTCCAGCTGATATTTTGAATGTCTATGATGGGACAGGAAATCTTTTAACACATTTGCTTCACCAGCTACTACTGCAGGTTCCCCCCCCCCCCCCCCCCCCCAATTTTTCACCTTTTTCACATTAACAATGAATATGTGGGTCGTGTAGACTTTGTTTAATTTTCTCATCTTTTCCTGGTGGCCATCATCACTAGCTGTGGCACCTCTGCTGTTTCCTCCATCAGCTCGGTTCAGCGATGCGTTTATAGGCTGCTTTTGTTTCTGAGTTAAAGTCTCTTACCGGAGTATTTCTCTTATCAGATGGCACCATCTAGTGGCTGATAAGCATATCACAAAACGTCTGTCGATGCGTTTTTTTAAGATGGCGACTTCATGTTTCTTGTTTGTGAATGTGCTTCTGTAGCCGAAAGAGTTAAAACACATTGTTTTACAAGTGTTATTTTCATGTCATGTTGTGTTTTCCTATATTTATATTTTAAAGACATACTTGTCCGTGAAAAGTTCATCAACTCTGCACTGGCCGTAGTACTTCCTTAAATTTGGAGTAAGTAAGCGGTAGTCTAACGCTATTGGTTAGCTCTGGTCGATGCTCAGTTTCCTATTGCATGGAGCTCTGTGGTGCAGGTGCAGGGGGCATGCTTAGGGAAAAAAAAGAAGAAAAGACGTATTGCTTACATTATATCACAGTACATAATAAGACAGTCACGTTTACAGATTTCTGAAAAATCCTACATCATTTCTGAAAGGGGAAAACTCTGGGAAGCTACTTTAAAGAATCAACCTGTTTATTGATCTGAGCACTGCTCCCATCTAGTGACTGGAAGATGGTTTAGAGTTTATGCTAATAATAATGGAGCCTCCTGCCTCTAACCCCCTGATCCCCACCCCTAACTCCCAAGGGGGCATGCCTCACTAACTGAGAAGCACTTGTGTAACTGCATTACTCGTATTCATTTCATACTAAAGTTGTTTCTAAGAGAGCAGAATTCTACCTTGGTGTTCAATTCACTCTGAGTAGCAGTTAGCTTGTCGATCTGATCTAAATAAAATGCTATTTCTCCAAACTGAGGTTGTTCTAAAAGCATATTCATGACCTTTCTTCAGAAGATCTGAACTATCCTTTTGAGGTTCACAAAACTAGAACTAAAGATTATCATTTGCCCTTAAAGAGCATCTGTGTTGCAAAATAGCAGAGCTGCCTCATCACCATAGAAAAAATAGATTTAGTCAAAACACAACCTATTTTTGTTGTGTGACGTGAGCACGTCTGCTGCTCTGTTACTTTCTGCTGCAGCTGAAACTCTGATCGTTATCTGGTGACGTGAGACAGAAACCAAATGTTTGCTCCACTTTTAACACAAGTTTCATAACTAAAACTTCATGCTGAGTTGCTTCAACCAGCCTTCACTGACAAATTACCTAATAACTGTAAAATACCATCAATGGTTTTTTCACCCAAATGATTGTGGTGAGATATTTATAACATGATTTGTTTTGCAACTTTGAGCTTCTGAGAACCAAAAGTTATTCTTTAATATGATAATATACATTTAATAAACTAAATAATGTATAGTTTTTATTTTATTGTTGTATTTTGCTGTTTGTGAGCACTCGTTTGCTTGAGTAAATGCAAGTAATTTTAATATACTTGTGTTTTCTGTTTATCTGTACATTTTTCTAGTGAGTAAAAGATTCCCGATACCTTTTTTATGATTCAGCTGTGGTGACGAACCCTGAAAATATCTTTGGGCCTACATTTTTATGTTTGATCAGGGAAGCAGCTCCGTGAGTCAGCTAAGAGTGTTAAACATGTGCTTGAACAGAAATGTTAAATTAAAAGAAACAATCTCTGTTTCAAGAACAGTTTTGGATGAGGGTGAGCAAAGTTGTACTCACTATGTCTTTTATTTTAACTTTTAAAAGGTCATCCATGTAGTCTAGATTGATTTAGTTTTTTTTTTTTTTTTACTTCTTTACGGGTGCTTTTAGGGAGGAAAAGTAATAGAAAATGCTAAATCTTGATTAATATTTTAAGTAATTTATTTATTTTTTTCTAAATATGGTGATTTTGTCCAGATTTGGACAAAAAGACAACCAAAAGCTTCAAATAGGGTGATAATTCAACGCTCTAACTGAAGAAATAGTCTCGAAACAAAAGTATTTTTTCAATGTTTTTAATGTTTTGCATACATTTTAGAAAGTAATTTACAAAATTAAAAAGTGTGGAAAATCTGTAAAAGTATTGAGAATGAAGTTCTGAAATCCACCAGTAGATGGGAGAGTGCACTTTTTCCAGTGTCTGTATTCTCAGAACAGGTGTTTATTGTGAAGTTCACAAAAAAAAATTTAAAATTGCATGGTGAACAAGTGATAAGGGGCCATCGGTTTTCTACCACCTGAATGTTTCAGTTCATCAGCAGTAGGCTGTAAAAGATATTTTTGGCGTTATCTCACTGATGTGAAACCATAAATAAATAAAACTTCACATCAGCTTTTAAAATGAATTTAATTAGCATAATTTACTCAGTCAAAAATAAAATTAACACATATCATTACTTCATTATTTTGAAGAACTCTGGTTTTACAGTCTGTTAGAAGACCAGTGTCTTCTGATAAATAAAGATAATTACGGTTAGAAATCCAAGTTCTGTAGTCGTCTTGCATTTGGTGTAGAGTGCAGTTCTTTCCAGTGCATTTGAAGTAATAATTAATGTTCCTCATGAGGCCCACTCAGACAGCAGTGGGCAGCTACAGCAACCTGAGTGTAACATCTGGTACATCCCCTGTTCCATCAGTCTCCGCTGTTGACTCTGAATCGAGAGGCTTCCCTCTCTTCAGAAACCTTTGATCTTACCCTTCGTTCTCATTACCATTTCACCATTTCTCAGTTTCACGGTTTCTCACAAACTCCCAAGACATGCGTTTAGGTGTGACTGTACTGCATGCGGAGGAATTTTTTTTCTTTTTCTCTTTTTTTTGTTGCAAGCATATCTGCAGGTTAATTGTAGATTGAGTTGACACGTTGTACATAGCTGGCGTAGGGCTCGACTTCCTCCACATCCTCTATCTGAAAAAAAAAAAAATAGAAACCTAGATTGTATCAAAGTCAAAGAGAGCACCCCAAGCACAAAATACAATCTGGTTCTACCCACTGTTGGAGACTTGTTTGGCGTGTCGACATGTTGACAGCGTCTGGTGAAATTTAAATCAGCAAAAAAACACATCAGAAACAACCCTTTAAAAGGTTCATTTAAGTTCAATTCAAGATAATCTATAAAACTCACCTTGATAGTTTTACTTTCTTGAGTACAAGAACAATAAAGGCAGCCAACAGAACAAAAAGCACCCCGATAACAAGCAGGAAGATCCAAAGTTTATATTCTGAAATGAAAAATTAGAAAAGTTTTTGGATAAAGTCTTAACAAAACAAAAGGAGGCCAGTTTTGAGAAGTCAAGCTGACTATCCTCCTTGGGTTGCTTGCCCTGCTCTAATCACATGTGATCGCTGGATTGAAAGCTGGAAGTCATTTAACTGTTATGGTGTGTGCACGGCCGCAGAGGAGAGGGAGACGAGTGACGCGGTAGATGTTGGTAGAGGCAGCAAAAGCTGTTGCACTGGAGCGAGAAGATGCAGCTGCTGTAAATGACGGATCAGACCTGTTCTACATTCACAAGACACAGACAGAGAACTCTCAATTCCCTGAGAGAGACACTGACTCCAGGAAGCAGCAGAGCATCAGAAACAGTAAATGAATCTATAATCTATAGGTATCACACATCCTCTTGCCTGGGTCACTTCCTACCTTATCGGGCCGTACACAATTTCTTCAGCTGAAGTCATGCAAATCCAATATTTTTCCTGTTTCTAAATGATAAAAGGAAGGGGCCCCAGGACAGAACCCTGAGACCCTTTCTTTTCATCATTTACCTTCTGGCACTAGGTTGCATTTTACCGGAAACACAATATTAATTTTCATTGTTAAGCAGATGACACCCTGCTCTACCTCTCAACCAACCCCTTCGAGTAGAAGAGTTTAAACTTTGGTAGTTTTAACTCTGCGTGATCAGGAGGAATCGTTTTGAAGGTTAACTTGGTGACAATTTTATTGACTCTGGTTTTTTAAAGGGGCATAATGGAAGTTTGACAGCCAAAACATGTATAGAAATAATACATTTCTTCTTCATACATTCTCCTGCAATGCCCTGGTCCTGTAGAATGAGCCCTGGCATTTTTACTGTCATTGCCTGTTTTTCAGTAAAATCACAGAAAAAGAGAGTTGTTCGGGTCAGTGTTGCCAACTCAGCGACTTTGTCACTGTTCCTAACGACTTTTTGACCCCCCTCAACGACTTTTTTTCCAAAAAGCGCCTAGCGACAAACTTAGCGACATTTCTCAGGACCCGTTGCTACTTTCTGTAGAACTTTCATGTAGATATTCCCTACAGATTAGCAACAAAGAAACCATTTGCACTCTGAACCGTTCTTCCGGGAGTAAGGAAAGAGAATGATAATCTGCACATGTGCACGAGGACTGACCAATCATAAACCGTTTTCGGCCGGTCTGATTCGCTGAAGACATAGTACAGCTGCAGAGCTGGAGACCGCCGATTTACGTCTGCTGCTTTCATATTGCTGCAGGCTCACGCTTCTACTAGAGACGGCGCGGGCGTCAACCTGCCATCTCTGGTTCTGCAGCCGTCAGACACTTTGGCTTTTCCTGCATTTGGCAAATAACGTCATCGGGAGTTTCATCTACCGTCCCATTTACACACGCAGCTCTGTGGCTCATCTGAATTTCCTTCAGTGACACAGGGATGGTTATACCATGAGACACCCGTTCCCTTTTGCTCGGTGCACCATTATTATCACGATTGAGAGAATACACAACAGAGAAGTTGAGAAACTATGAGGTGTAAAAAAACAGCTTTTTAGGAAAATGTCTGTGAGAGTGAGGAGAGCAGGAGGTCTGAGTTATATCCTACAACAGAACTGTTTGGATCACCACACCATATCTGTCTTAATGCCACTTTATTGGTAGTTTTGGAATTTATTGTACATATCAAAGCTATTTGGGCCATTTTAATCATACAAATTAATAACTGTAACATATAACATAGTTTTTATTTTCCTCCCTTTTAATCCTATTATATATATATATATATATATATATATATATATATATATATATATATATTAGATGCTATGGGGAAAACGAACGCTAATGTGGCGTGATGACGTCATCAAAATGTAAATTAGCAGGTGACGTCATCTGGCGACATCTAGTGACTTTTGGGGGGAACTTCAGCTACTTTCAGTCAAAAACAGTTGGCAACACTGGTTCGGGTCGAGCAGGCTGCTTCACGCGCGTTCACGCTCAGGCATAGCCCGTAGCATTTGCTATCCGTAGCTTTAGCAGCAGAGAGTGAGGTAGTGCCAACTCAGCGACTGTCGCTATTCCTAACGCCTAGTGATGAACCTAGCTACATTTCTGAGGACCCGTAGCTACTTTCTTCTAGATATTTCCTGCAAATTAGCAACAAAATAGCCATTTTCGCTCCGAACCGTTCTTTGAGAGTTGTTTCAGCTGTCATCAGGAATATAAATATTACAGATACAAATGACATTACTGGTGCTTTAGCTCGCCCAATAAGACTGCGGACTCCCGTGCGGAAGACCTGGGTTTGATTCTGGATGTGAACATAGTTTATTTAGAGTTTATTTTTTACATTAATGGTATATTTTTTTACAGTAAGATGCCCAAATTTTTATTTGAGACTCGCCGAACGGCATTGAATTCACAGATAAAAAAAATGTGGGTTCAACTTTCATTTTGGAACAATTTTTCAAGCAAGGGAAGGGAATGATCTGAGCATGCAGGAGGACTGACCCATCATAAACCTTTGTCGGCTGTGCTGAAGAGAAATGTACAGAACCAAATTATTTAATTAATTAGCTGCACGTTCTCCTGTCCTCTGTCCTCCAGGCCATACACACACACACACACACACACACACACACACACACACACACGGGACTGTCTCAGCTGTTATTTTCGTTAAGGAGTGTGCACGTACAGCATGCGCGCCTCGTGCACGAGCCTACTATTGAAGCTGCCGTTACGCTTTTGGCCTGAGGGGGCAATCGCGAGCATAACATTTCTAAACTCCGTAAAGTCCCTTTAAAACACCTCCTGTTTGGTAGAAATTTTAACATAAGTTTTAACCAGGTGTTATATGTCAATAGACTGCTTTAGAACTTTTATCAACTTTGTGGAGTTTGAAACACCTTCTGTTTTAGTGAAACTTTTAATAAGTTTTAACCAGGTGTTTTTAATGTTGGTGATTGGTCTTTTAATGTTAACCTTTTTGAGAGTCTGTTTTTTTTTTTGCATTATCTTTATAATGCTCGCCATCTGTTTGCTCTTGTTTTTAGAACCTTTTACAACAGTTAAAACCATTCTAACTCCTGTCGTATTTCTTATGTTACCCCCCCCTTCGCATTTTAACATCTCCTGTCGGGGGTGTAACACTCAGCCGTTACTCCCTCTCCTCATGTTAAGAGCCTTGGTGTCATCGACAACACTCTCTTAAAAACTCTCTTTTCAATCTCACATCAATAATATTACCCAGTCTGCTTATTTTCACTTGTGTACCATCTCTCATCTTTGTTCGTCACTTACTCCTCACACCACAGCCATTCTTGTCCACGGCCTCGGCACATCCGTGATTGATTATTGCAACTCATTTTTCTTTGGTCTCCCCAGTAAATCCCTCCATAAACTGCAGCTTCTACACAATGCTGCAGCAATCATCACCAGGACTCCATCCTCTCATCACATCACTCCCATCCTGCAACAACTTCATTGGCTGCCCATTAAACAGAAAATCAGTTTCAAAATTCTGCTCATCACTTTCAAAGCTCTTCCTAAACTGGCTCTATCCTACTTATTTTATCTCATTCACATCACCACTCCTGTCCAAGCACTTTGTTCCCCTTCTGCTCCTCAACTCTCGGTTCGCCCCGCTCACCTTGTCACCATTGAGGTGGGGAGTAGAGCTCGGCTCCCCACCTTTGCACCACTCACTCTCTCCTACTTTTTAAATCAAAACTCAAAACCAACCTCTTCAGACAAGTTTTTAACACCTATTTTTAACTTCATAGTAAAAAGTTTTGACATCTTTCTAATTTTTTTTTACATATTATTGTGTTTATCTTGTTTTATCTTACTTTATCCCATAAAGTGTCCTTGTGTGTCATGAAAGGCACTTTTTAATTCAAATGTATCATCATTAAAACTTGCAGATAAGTTGGTGTGTGTGATGTTTTCTGTGTGTGACTCCCAAAGTAGCTGTCAGTGCTACAGTGTCTCCCTCTCCCCCGCAGCCGTGCGATCAATGCTACAATGACACATTGCTTTTTGAATGCATGTGGGCTGTACCTTTATTAAAAAAATAACTATAGGCAATAAATTGTTTTCTTGGGCGTTAACTGCTTAGGTGGCTTTAATACTTTGTTCTTAGTATCGTTTAGCTTGACTCTGCAGTGATAATTTCTTCCTGATTCTCCAAAATAACTGCATCTGCTGAAGGTAAGACTCTGACTGTTGAGTTAAAGTGCACAAAACCAAAGTACAAAACAAAAATCTGACCTCTTGCAGAATCCTGACCTTCTCTGGGTTGTGGCACCAAACTCCTCTCCTGATCCCAGGACTGGTGTCTGACGATACAGCTCAGGTTTTCTGGATTCATGCCTTCAAGAAGCTCCAGCTCACTTTCTACTGTAACAAATCCATCTGAGCCAGGCAGCGTTTTCACAGACTCAGAGTTTCCCGTAAGACTCCAGCTGATGTTGGCAGCAGGATATCCTCCTTCAGCTCTGCACATTGCAAGCATCTCGTTGCCCCTTCGTTCCAACCAGGCAGATAAAGTGGGAGGAACTAAACCAATAAAGACCAAAACAGAAGAAAAACGTGTTCACTTAATATTAAAATAACTACCTGTGCAAAATGTTAAATACAAGGTTAAATGGCATTTACTGATCAAGTGAATGACATACAGTTGTTGTACACACACACACACACACACACACACACACACACACACACACACACACACACACACACACACTAAGATGAAACAAGAATTCTTTGGCATAAAAATAAAATCTTACCTGTGATAGTCACGTTGATCTTATAATTATCATTTCCTCCTACGTATACTGACTCACACCAGTAGAGACCCACATCATCAGCTGAAATATTTGGGATGTGTAGGTACGACTGACCAGCCGTAGTGTTCTGCAGAAGCTTGCCATCATTGCAAGTGTCAACATTTTCCCCCTCATTGCAATAAGAGATCCGACAGGTTTTGTGTTTCAAGTCTAAATTCCAAATAACATAGAGGGTGTCCTTCCATGTCCTACTGCTGCATGTCAGGTTAACGCTGCTCCCAAGGTTAAACACTTGCTTTCTGTTAACTGTAGAAACAAAAGCGTTACTTTAGATAATTTTGTATTTTAGCAAAATGCAACAAACATCAGATCACACTTAATGTCAAACTACGGACAACATTTCCAATTTATTTGAAGATAAGACCAACTTTTAACATGCTGGAACTATAAAAAACACAGCATTTCATGCTAATATCTGGCCAATATTAACAATTTTTTTAATTTTTCTACTTCATGCGAGATTCCCTTTCAGTTGAGCCTATTTAAAGTCAGGCACATTCTTGGGCAGCACAGTCCTGCTGCAGATTTGTATTTAAACATTCCTGAGAAACATCTTTTAATGAAACCTCTAAAACGTTATTGTCAACTGAAATGTACTTTTATTTACATATTTTATATTAAATACTTGACCAATTTTTGGTTTTCTTTAGTTAACTTTAGGTAAATGTTTGATTTTAGTACTTTGCAGTTGACAAAATTAAGGTTCAAGAGTTCATTTATTCTGTTTTCAAAAGCTGATTATAGGTTCAGACATGTTGTTCATTCATATTTTAACATTCAAGAAAATCATGAAAATTGGCCCTAAAAATCAGCAACACATGTCGGCCATCAGTATCGGCAAAGGATGACCCACATCAGGCAGTCCCAACTTAGCAATGTATAGTTAGTAGATTTTTTTATTTCAATATTTTGTGATAATGAACCTAATTCTGTTCTGTTTCTGCATTTTGAGGGTTAGTTTTATCAAGATGATGGTCATTAAATTTTATTGTGACAACTTCAAATTACCATCGTAGAATCAAATTAAATGTCAGCATTAACATTTTATCTGAATTTAACACAGATCACAACAAAATAGAACATAATTTCCCACATTTATTTTTCATTAACATAACTTTAAAGGTTTCTTCCTTAATACAAAGACAAAGAATGAGAGCCATCACGAAGGAATAAAATCAAGTGTCCAGTCCTCTTTCATACCTGCTGTATAAAATTCACACAAAAGACACAAAATCTTTGAAGAAAAGATGGAGAAATGGAATTTACCATAAACCTTAATAGGTGGAGAGGTTGCGTTTGGTTTCATGGGGGTGGTTTCATTAGTTCCTGAGAAATATGAAGGAGGATGTTAGAGAGAGGGTTAGTAAAAATAAAGTGATTTTCTTAGTCAGGGGTAGCGATTCATTATGAGGAAAGATAGAGTCAAAAACAGTTAGTTTCATTAACAAATCAGTGAAATTAGCAGTTAATTAAAGGGAAGGTGATATTATAGAAAGAAACGGAACAAAAAATGTGCAGAAGGGCTGACATTTTTTAAAGAAACACATTTTATGTTCAATTCAAGACAAAAACAAACATAAAAGACAAGGAAACCTGACTGTAAATCTTGATCTGACAGTCAGTCGTTATTGATCTAATCTTCTGAGGTTATAGTTGTAATCCGTTGTTTTAGAAGACGATTGGTGTTACTGTAAACGCCTCAAAGGAATGTAATGGAACATGACTAGGAAACAGGGGTCCGGTGTTTGTTTACTTCTGCCAGCTGTGAGCGCTGGAGGTGGTATTGTAAAAAAACACAGCCCGAGACCCCGCAGTGGAGAAAAGCTGCATCACTCTGCTACCCGAAACCGTGTTTCCACCAAGGGCAGAGAGCAGCTTGCTCATCCAGAGATATGGGGCAAGTCTGTTATGGAATTTTTTTTGTTCCCTTGTCAGCATTACGGGCCCACATCCCTGCATGTTGTTTCCAGAGCCTGCATGTCTAAACTGAGTAACTGAAAAAGCAGTTATTTCAGGGACTTGTCTAAGGGGGGGGGCACAAACTTCGAATTGGTAATACAAAACTTTTAACATTTACTCCGTAACATCAACAATAAAGCTTCATGAAACTATTAAATCATCTTTCTCCCTTTTCACATGTAAACAAAACCTAAAATACTAAACAAAAAAGTGCAAATTAAATTTTTTTCTTCAAACCTGATTCCAGGCTCCATGATTTAGAGAAAAAGACAACCATGATATAAATCCACATCGTGCTTCTCATCTCTGTTTCCTCTTTAAACAACGTCTGGTCTGATCTTCACACCAAGCCTGGGCCTGACACCATCACATCAAACCCCAGAACCTGTGCTTTCATGTGATATTCCCTCCTTAAGCGATTTCACTTTCTCCTTTTCTGGGTTTGAATAAAAACCGTTCTTCTCCTCTGCCCCATTTGAACAAGTCATCAATCCTTCACCCCAAGTGAACCAGACATTTATAAGAAGAGCAGACAACTAGTCCCTCCCTTTTTGGTTCTCTTCTCCAAACTGCTTTCCACCCAAAAGTCTACCTCTTTCTCCCACACAGGATGACATCTCTAAACTCAAGACACAAGTTTCCTTTCTTGCTAGTCACATGATCATCTTCTGTCACAGGAGAGCATAAAACATGGAGCTGAACAACACGAGGCGGTTTGAAGCTGATTGAAACAACAGAATTGTACCAGTTTTACTGTGTTGCTAAAGCAAGAATTTCTTGTAGAATTTTTGTTAAATTTGACCATAAAATGATTCACTTACCAACTAAAATCATGTTCGTAAAAACTGTTAGAGGTCATTTTACATCACATTTGCTTAGATGTTTATGGTTACACAAAACGAACAGTGAAAAAGTACATCAAAGAGCGTAGAGAGTGATAGTTTATGCGTTTATACCAAATGGCCTCTCTTTTGGGCAAGGTTGTGTTTAGTGGGCTCTGACTGGCCTGAACAAGCCTTGTGAGAATTAAAAGCAAAAATGATCGCCAATAGATGTTTGCACAAAGCCCAATAAGAAAATAAAATGCTGTTGATATTTGTTTATCCATCCTCTATTTTGTTTATGAGAGTAAAAAGGCATAAAAATGCTGGTAAATTCAGAAAAAGAAAATAAGTAAATAATTTTTCAGTTCTTCGGTTTCTGATTGAAATTAAGTTTTTCAATGTTTAAACACGGTGGTGGTCGTGTCATAGCTTGGCCTTTATGATGCTTGGTCAATGGCACAGATGAACTCTGAAATGTTAAAATGAATTCTGATGGAAATTTTTACTTACTTTGCTTTTGAAATGGTGCAAAAAAGTGGGTCATATGCAAAACAGCAGTCTCAGCTTCATAAATCATCCAACTGAAGAATGATTTAAAACCGTTATGTGTGCAGACAAAATACTGATTAATCCAGGGAGACCTCGAGTAGAAATCTGTTGAGCTTTGTGAAGAAATGTGCAAAATTCTTACAGGCTTATGTGCGGAAATAAAAATATAAAGAAACAGTTGACAGAATTTTTGTTTTCCTGTTTCCGTCTGATTCTTAATATCCGATATAAAACGATACATGCTGTGTACATGTTATTACATTTTAGGTTACTAACATCAAAAATCGCCTGTCATGCAAGCTTATTTTCAGCTTTTACTGTGAAAATTTAAAACTACTTCCATTTAAGTCACTGAAAGGAAAAGTGCTGTATGTATTTAGTTTCTAACAGCAGTTGAATCTCGTTCTTCCTATGCTAAGATGTGTTTAAGTAGTAATGTATTTTTTTTATTTTTCTGTATATTGTGGCTATGATGATGAAACATTTAAAAAGATCTTGAGATAAGAAAAGCAAGACTTGGGTGGAGATTCTTGTTTTTGTCGTTTGTTAGCTGGCTAGCTATAATTCATTTGAATTCAAGTTTATTTATATAGCGCCAAATCACGACAAGAGTCGTCTCAAGGCACTTCACAAAGTAAACAGTCCAGTACAGATCAGTTCATTAAGCCAATCAGAAAAAAGTTTCCTATATAAGGAACCCAGTAAAATACATCAAGTCACTGACTTGTGTCAGAGTCTTTACAGCAATCCTCATACTAAGCAAGCATTTAGCGACAGTGGAGAAGAAAAGTCCCTTTTAACAGGAAGAAACCTCCAGAGGATCCTGGCTCAGTATAAGCAGCCATCCACCACGACTCACTGGAGATCAAGAAGACAGAGCAGACACTCACTCACACACACACACACACACACACACACACACACACACACACACACACACACACACACACACACACACACACACACACACACACACACCATATATACCAAGTGGTGTTTCTATGGTTACATTGGGATTTCTTAGTAAATATTCTATTTGGTGAGAGATACGTTTTATTGTATTTATCCTAGTGAATCTATAATTAAATGGGTAAACTAGTAGTAGCACATTCAATGTCAAGGAAAGTAAAATGTTATCATCCGGAGAGGGAGAATGATTAAATGGTTAGCAGCAGTGTTCAAGACGATGGCCCCCTCCATGAGGCCACCACAGCTCAGAAGAACATCATTGTAGCTTCTTCTGGGGAGAAAAACACTTAGAGAAAAAATAAAGTTAACAGCTGAAATAGCAGGAAATAATGCAGTCAAAGAGCAGATTGTAGAAGAAAGTAGTAGAGTGTGGAAAGTGGTCAGTATGTCCTACAGCAGTCTAAGCTGAACAAGAAGTCCTGGAGGTGATGGTCTGGCCCCTACAGAGCCCTGATCTCAACATCATAGAGTGTTTCTGGGATTGCATGAATGACATGAGGAAGCCTACATCCACAGATGATCTGTGGTTAGTTCTCCAAGATGTTTGGAACAACCTACCAGCCCAGTTTCTTCAACAACTGTGATCAAGTAGAACTGATACTGTTTCGAAGGCAAAAGGTGGTCACACCAAATATTGATTTAACTCACAGTTTTTTGTTGCTTTCATTTTTGAAAGCATTTTGTTTTCTGCATGTTTTCACACCTACCTAAAATGTTTGCACAGTAGTGATGAACACACTGAGTCAGCATGAATGTTTTACAGAAATGTTTACTATTAACATTTAAATAAAGCTTGAGAGCACCATCATGACCTGTTGTCCATCCATATCGTGTTGCAGGTCTCACCTGCTGTTTTAATTGAGCTCACATGTCCACCTATGAATTTAACGCTAAATAACAAAAGGATTTTAATGCAAGTATAATTAGATAAAACATATTAGTTGCAGAATAAGGAGTCATTGCTAGTTTCTTAGAAAAGGTTGTTCAGAGGAGGAATAATGTATGCTGACTAGGTGCAACATGGAGTTGTTTGTGGTCTCGTATCTGCTGGTATCTGAACATCTCGCTGTTAACGAGTCTCGAGCTGCAAACACTATCTGTTGTAGCCGCATGAATGGCCTCATTTTGTGACCCGAAGGTCACACTTCCCCAGCTAGGTCGAGCTGGGTCAAGCTGTACTTTGTCCCACAGATTATCCATCACAGGAGACATACAGTCTGCTGAAAACCATCTTCAATCTGACTGCTTTTAGCTGTCTGCTGTTCCTCCGCAAGATGGACACTTCAAGATTTAAAATAATCATTTTTAATAAACTCTTCTTACTGTTATTACAAGGTCCGTAATAATCTTCATAAATAATCATCATGGTTCATTATAAATGTATTTAATTACTGAAATGACTTATTATTCTTTGGTTAATAATAATTATTATTTATGGTAATCAGTAATGTTTAACAGTGTGAAGAAGGTCATTTGCACGTGTACACACCATGCAGAACTGAATTCAGGGTAAAGTTAACTTGCTCTCACATGTCTTTGTTCCATAACCAAAGCGTTCTGAGAGGGCGTGTTCTGAGAGTTTGTTAAAACCAAAAACTCCTCAGTTTAACTTCAGTTCTTGAACCAACCAGATACTCTCCGTGGTGACGAGAGTCATCCCAGAGGACGAGGGTTGGCCGCCCGAAGCCTCACTAAGCTGTTCTGTCACGCCGATAGAATCGCTCCGAATAAACGCCACCTGTAACCAGCTGACACAAAACTCCTTCAGAGTTATTGATTTTGAGACGCAACTAAATTCATCAGTCGTTGTGACCCGGAGACATCTCAGGACCGATTTGGTCGCACAAAGGTCCTTCTACCAACCTCGTGCTCGGAGGACATCATCTCCACCTGACATCTCGGATCCAACAGAGCAAGTGCAAGTGCAGAGCATGTAGCAAGTGCCATCTGTCGGAAGGGACGCTTCCGACAGATTGCGTCTGTATGCTGTTCTCTCTAAGAAACAACTTAGTTAGCTACTAAACAACCTTTCCACCCAGAACGCGTTTCTCTCTCTGAAAGAAATCTTCTGAGATTCATCCACGCATCCAAACATATGCATTCCATTTTAGTTTCCATTCAGACACAGGTTTGCTTTTAATACCAAGTTTTAATATCAAAACTGTTACAAATTGTCATTTCTAAATTCTCATTTCTAAATTCTCATTTTTAATTGTTAGTAATAAATTCTTAACTTTTTAAACCTGACTCTTCTTTGAAATGAAACACAGAATGGTGTATATTTGGTTATCGAATAAGCAAAGATTCCATTAAGTCTTCTGTTTAATAAATAAACTAAATATTAATCTTTGGATTAAATATAGACCAAGCCCGTTGGTGTATGAACTTCTATCGATTGTATAAATATCCTGGATATTTATGCATGATATAAGCTCATATGCTAATTTGTCTGATCTTTCTCAGAATTTAACAAAGCTGATAGCAAACAGCGTTAATTCTAGTATGTAGATTATCTACGCTACACTGTTACTGGGGGTGCAAAAAATTTAATGTTATCCTGCTTCCGCAGATGAGAGATCTAACTGACAAAAATGTGGCAGAACTTGTGTGTGTGTGTGTGTGTGTGTGTGTGTGTGTGTGTGTGTGTGTGTGTGTGTGTGTGTGTGTGTGTGTGTGTGTGTGTGTGTGTGTGTGTGTGTGTGTGTGTGTGTGTGTGTGTGTGTGTGTGTGTGTGTGGTTATGGCACGCGGACTTTGAGGTTAATGAGAACTTCTTGAAATGAGAAGAACCGCTCCTTTTTGGAACAGAAAAAGCTGATGAGCTCAGCTTTTCCGCTTCATATATCTGCTTTCAGTTGGGTCAAGTTTGTTAGAAACTAACTGCAG